CACACCTTATTGTTGTGGCATTTGGTGCTGCGCTAGTCGCGTGAAAATATTGTTTTATTGCTTAATCTTTTGCTCTTTTTTGTCTGAAGATTTCATGTATTCAAAAACAGTCCTGAAGTATTGTCTCTCACGTTGTCTGAAACACGGCTCGAATCAAAAGCTCATGTATACACCGGATCAAGCTGTCCTGGAGTACACATTGTCCTGTATCCGTTGGGAAATAAAAATGAAAATGTGTTTTCATTATATTCGGAGGGCTGAAGGTCGGTGGTTGGATCTCCTGACCGCGTCATACCAAAAGACGTTAACAGATGCTAGTTGTTGTCAACCGGCTTGAAATTCGGTATTTGGGAACAAAACAAGAAATGGTCGGATCGGAGTCGGTGTAATGAATCTTAGTGGGTTATCTGTGTTTAACTGCGGTATGGTATCTCAGTGGGCTGTGACTATTACTGGGACTAGTACAATCAGCAACACACACACACACGCGCGCACGCACGCACGCACGCACGCACGCACGCACGCACGCATGCACGCGCGCGCGCTTGTTGAAATAATCTTGAACACGATGTAAACTTCATTTCTCCTCACCTCTAAAAACAGGCTTCAACGCTTGTACGTGACGAGGCGGGTTACGTCGCCTACAGCGGTTTCGCGGACACGTGCCTGTACTTTCGAAATGCTGGCACGAAGGTTTCAATAGTGAAGAACAAAGTCATCAGTTGGCTTGAGGAATCATTAACCTCTGCTCGTAATCTCTTGCCTCACAGCCTGCATTCCATTAGTGAGAGCAAAACCCTGTCGTTCCAAGAGTGATGAATTGATATTAGATATTTTACAACACCGCGATCGTTGAATATTACTGTGAATTACGTATGAACATAAATACTCACTTTGTCAAGTACTCAAGCAATGAAATGTCATATAGTACATACATTATGAATTTAAGGCTTAAAATATATCATTTAATGCTTTTGATAGCATATTATGTGATGGTTCTTGATAAAAATGATATTAACAATAACAACACTCATTATAGTCCTGCACGTATTGATGATGATGATGAAGATGACGGAGATGGTGATGACTATGCAGATGACGATGATGATGGTGATGATAATGATGGCGATAATGATAATGTTGATTACTATGCTGATGACGACGACGACGATGATGATGATGATGACGCATTGTTCCCTTATCCTTAAAAAAAACGCATCTACTAATGACACGACACTGCATGTCAGCAGATATTTCCCTTATTTCTCCTGTTCCTGTAAGAAATAAAGCTGAGTGGTAAGATGAATTGTTCCAGGCATAATGATTACCATGAGTGATTGGCCTCCGGAAGAAAGAGCATTGATCGATTTCACAGACTGCACACTATTACCTTACGCCTTACTCCCCACAACTCTGAGCGCTGTACATGAAAAAAAGACGAAAAAACAAATAATTAGAATTCTTGATTCCTTTACATTGACGAAGAGTTGACACCTTGGCAATGACACCCGGGGATAGGACACAAGCGATTCCTTTCTTTGACATTAATGCCCGACTTGTGTCAACTTTTGACATCTGTGAGTTACATGCCACCTACTGCGCAGGGCTATTCGGATCTGGAATTGTGACGAAGTGTGTGCGTTTGCCTTCAGTGTTTCACTTTTATAACAGCGTATCAGCTTAATGTGAAAGTAATGGCCAAACTGACACAGACTGAAGACGTTTACCACTTGGAGCGTGGTGTGGCGTTCAGACTCCAAGGAACACAATCTGGACTGTTGTCTGATGGCGTCATGATATAGCATGAGGTGGTCACCCGTCCGTGTTACGCTCATCCGATTCCAATTCTGTCCTACTCGATACAAGCAGGGGTTAATGGACCTGAATCGATGCCAGAGTTCTAAAGGCGTTGATAACTGTATCCAAATAATAGAGGTGACAGACAGGGCGAGTAGGTGATGTGTTCAGTGTGGGTGCTGAATTTAATGCTTGTCATTCTAAGTGTGGTCGACTTTGAGGTAAAAGAAGACATATGTCAGACAGCTAGTGTGTAATGTGGCTATATGTTAGCGATGTTTGTCGTTGCTATTGACCATACAATAGCTACAGACGTATAATAATAGAGGTGACAGACAGGGCGAGTTGGTGATGTGTTCAGTGTGAGTGCTGTATTTAATGCTTGTCATTCTAAGTGTGGTCGACTTTGAGGTAAAAGAAGACATATGTCAGACAGCTAGTGTGTAATGTGGCTATATGTTAGCGATGTTTGTCGTTGCTATTGACATACAAAAGCTACACCACGACCGCGGACATCCATCGCTAGCTTCACGTGTTGTGTCTACGATGGGAAGCGAACTCGGTCCCACGTGATGAGAGAATGCTTTACCCAGTAGCTTATAACCAACCATCCGCCCCTTGGCATGTTAAATGACATTAACAGGTGCAAGCGATAATCCCCTTGTACGTATGGCCTCTTGAATTGAAGATAGGTCGCAGATATGCCATGTATTGTTAAATGTTACAATAAATCACCGCATTAGTCAAAAACATGTGCGGAAACTCGTCAGTACGTGATCATTATTCCGCGCATCGCGCATTTCAGATGGTGCGAGGCCTGACCGTTCTATCTATCATTCAGATTGTCTATCTACGTGTTAAAAGCCTCGGTGGAGTTCTAAACTTCTCACACCGTATGGCAAGCATACATCTAAAAGCACTTGTCTAAATGAAGTGATCAGTAACACGGGTCCTTCACGTCTCTGGTGGTGGTCGTAGGGCTATAGATTACCCGCTGCGGCAATTCTGCAGTTTCAGCTGCAGTTGATGACGCGTATTAGAGAAGTTGTTCGGTGTGCAATTTTATATTTTCAAATATTAGAACTTTATCAGGTTTTCCATTGGGGTGCTCACGTTGTCATCACCAGATTCCATTAGGTAATTAGGAAGTGTTCTTAACAAATTACTGTATTGAATTTGAAGAGGTTGGTGGTGGTGGCAGAATGAATGGTTTCGACAGAGCATTCGGTTTCTTTGTCTGCATACGTCTGGGACATTGTTGTGTGACTTAAACGGGTTTTATGCTTGGTGTATGGCTGAGTGTGCGTGGCTAGTTTTGCGTTTCAGCGTATATGTGTGTGTGTCCTGGCATACACTTTATGCGTGTGTCTTGGCATATATATGTGTGTGTGTCAGTGCGTAGATATGTGTGTGTGTGTGTGTGTGTGTGTGTGTCAGTGCGTATATGTGTGTGCGTCAGTGCGTATATGTGTGTGCGTCAGTGCGTATATGTGTGTATGTCATTGCGTATATGTGTGTGTATCAGTGCGTATATGTGTGTGTGTGTGTGTCAGTGCGTATATGTGTGTGTGTCAGTGCGTGTATGTGTGTGTGTCAGTGAGTATGTGTGTGTGTGTCAGTGCGTATATGTGTGTGTGTCAGTGCGTATATGTGTGTGTGTCAGTGCGTATATGTCCGTGTGTCAGTTCGTATATGTGTGTGTCAGTGTGTATAGTATACATGTGCGTGTATCTGGACGTATATATGCGCGTGTGTCTGGACGTATATCTGCGCGTGTGTCTGGACGTACATTTGCGTGTGACTAGACGTATATCTGCGCGTGTGTCTGAACGTATATCTGCGCGTGTGTCTGGACGTATATGTGCGCGTGTGTCTGGACGTATATATGCACGTGTGTATTGACGTATATCTGCGTGTTTGTCTGGACGTACATTTGCGTGTGTCTGGACGTATATCTGCGCGTTTGTCTGGACGTATATCTGCGCGTGTATCTGGAGGTAAATCTGCGCGTGTGTCTAGACGTATATCTGTGCATGTGTCTGGACGTATATCTGCGGGTGTGTCGGGACATATATTTGCCTGTGTCTGGACGTATATGTGCGTGTGTCTTGGCGTATATCTGCACGTTTGTCTGGACGTATGTCTGCGCGTGTGTCTGGACGTATATCTGCGCGTGTATCTGGACGTATATTTGCGTGTGTCTGGTGTATATCTGCGCGAGTGTCGGGACGTATATTTGCGTGTGTCTGAACGTATATTTGTGTGTGTCTGGACGTATATCTGCGCGTTTGTCTGGACGTATATCTGCGCGTGTGTCTGGAAGTAAATCTGCGCGTGTGTCTAGACGTATATCTGTGCACGTGTCTGGACATATATCTGCCTGTGTCTGGACGTATATGTGCGTGTGTCTTGGCGTATATCTGCACGTTTGTCTGGACGTATATCTCCGCGTGTGTCTGGACGTATATCTGCGCGTGTGTCTGGACGTATATCTGCGTGTGTCTGGGCGTATATCTGCGCGTGTTTGTCTGGGCGTATATTTGCGTGTGTCTGGTCGTATATCTGCGCATGTGTCTGGTCGTATATCTGCGAGTGTGTCTGGACGAATAACTGCGCATGTGTCTGGTCGTATATCTGCGAGTGTGTCTGGTCGTATATCTGCGAGTGTGTCTGGTCGTATATCTGCGAGTGTTTTCTGGACGTATATCTGCGCATGTGTCTGGTCGTATATCTGCGCGTGTGTCTGGACGTATATTTGCGTGTGTCTGGGCGTATGTCTGGGCATTTATATATTATATAAAATATTAACTATTTATGTGTCTTGTTCTTGAGCGCATGATTATACGTGTGCTTCTGTGTTTGTAAAAGAGGCTGCTGTCAAACATGCACTTTAAAGTGTATCAGTGCAACTTTTTTGAAAAGGATGGTCACGTGAATGAGCCACACACACTCGTGCTATTAAAACTATATGTTCACCACAAACGAAAAAATACACAAGGAAGCGCTCGGCAACACACCCGATGACACAGTGCACTAGATAATGGGCGATAAATGATGTGCCCCTGTCAGACGGATTTGATCAGGAACGCATGAAACATAATTTTCGCCTCTAATTACGGAATTTTTCCCGACAATACGGAAAATTAGGTTCTTGTTATGTCATTTTCCAGGATGTTCCTTATAATTATTGATTTCTTTTTCAGTGCAGTTCCGTGTTCTAACACTAACGAGGGATCTCAAGACAAGGACTGGCGTGGTAGGCAGCCGTAGCACTAAGTCACATTTACCAAGTTGATGGCTTGTTTTTTCATACAATACAGTTGTATATTAATTTTGTGGATCCACAATTCAATTTAAGAAAAGTGAAACATGTTTTAACGTTCAGTATTCATAGAAATCGTTTCTGAGACAGTATTATAGAGCGTCCGCCCGGAGAGCGGAGTGTCCGGGGTTCGATCCCCGGCCGCGTCATACCAAAAGACGTTAAAAGATGGTACTTGTTACCCTGTCTGGCGCTCAACATTAAGGGGCTAAAACAAGGACTGGTCGGCTCGGAGTCAGTATACTGTGCCTGAGTGGGGTATTCATGTTAAAATGAGGCATGGTATCTCAGTGAGCTAGCACTATAAATCGGCATCAGTCCGGTCTAGTACAAGCAGCCACACACACACACACACACACACACGTGCATGCACGTCGCTATGTAAGTGCAATAATCTTGGACGCGACGTTAAACCCAATTTCACCTCACCTGAAACAGTATAATACATGATCTCGGAGAGATGGCGGTGTTCTGGCAATGGTTGCGATGGCTGACACCAACTCCATGTAATGTCAACAACGTTATCGTTTTCACAATTAAGCTCAACTTACAAAAAGCATTGTTAATATCGTCATATTATTATTTTATGAAGTGTTACAAATGGGTGATTTACTTTCTGTTTAGATTCAGAGCATCTTCATAAAAACTCCGAACGACATAAGAGTCAAACAATGGCTGAATGTTGAATGTCAAGGTCAGTAACGCATGTCAACATGTTCTTGTGTGTTTGTACAATGAATAATATATTTTTTGTCAAACACACACTAATACATGCACATTCACTCTCTCACACGTATACACACACTAAAACATGCACATTCACTCTCTCACACGTATACACACACTAAAACATGCACATTCACTCTCTCACACGTATATACACTCTAACTCTTACTCATGCATCCACTCATTCACTCCAACACACACACCCTACCTCTCTCTCTCCCCCCACCCCCTCTCTCTCTCTCACACACACACACACACACACCCTACCTCTCTCTCTCCCCCCACCCCCTCCCTCCCTCCCCCCTCTCTCACACACACACACACACACACACACACACACACACACACACACACACACACACACACACACACACACACACACACACACACACACACACACACACACACACACACACACACACACACACACTCTCACACTCACACTCACACTCACACAAACACTTATAAATACAATATAAATAATATATATATAGTCTCAAGTCTCATTTCATCCCTTGGGCTATATTGTCAGCCATGATAATGAACTTTTTGAAACGGAAAACACTCTGTTTTTTTTTAAATCGGTTGTAATTTGCCACAGGGGGCGCTTGCTACAGGACTGGAATTGAATTACGATATTAAAACACCAAGATTAAAATGAGGCGGTCACGGATGGAACTCTCAAGGTTAATATATTTTGTCCTAATTGTTCCCATCGCCGTGTTTCCAGGAGTGACCAGCTTCAAGTACCCCATGCCTGCAGAGCCCACGTTTGGGGAATGGACTATCGACGTCACCCTGGACGGTGAGACCACGTCCCAGCCCTTCCAGGTGCAAGAGTACGGTAAGGTACCCACGTTTCCGGGATGTGTACAGACACAATATTGTGTCACCCACAACATCCCTATATTTTCCAAAATCCCCAGCCTGTCCAGCGCTTTCATTATTTAAAACAATCCCCCAAAACGGTAGCCTGAGGAGGAATGTTTTTTCCTTTCAAAATGAATGTAATAGAATTTAGTTCTGAAGATTTTAGTCTATTCCATAACCTGTGAGATTTCAACTCACGTCTCATGTGACTATCAAACAGTAAAGGGTATACAGTCGACGCCACACTCATCATTTCAAGCCAACAACCAACAACGATCAGTCAGCACCATGCCGTGCTCGAGCACTAAAGCAGACACTCCATGATCTACAGTAAATTACGTTTATAACGAACACGCTTATAACGAACTGACGGATATAACGAACTTATTTTTTTGTCCCGACCACTTGCTGTATATATGCTGCATATATGCTCATAACGAACTGCGGTTATAACGAACTAACATTAATGATCCCTTTGAGTTCGTTATAACCGTAGTTTACTGTAACTGAAATACCAAACCCAACTCACTCATCCACGCACCATGCTAAGTGACCTCCCTTTTTACCCACAGTGCTACCCCGGTTTGATGTCCAGATCACACCGCCACCCTTCCTGTTGTCCAACGCCTCCACCATTGACGGCAAAGTCTGCGCCGAGTACGTACTTTCCTGAGCGTCCACAACAGCTGACTGTTCGTTATCCTGTTGCCTGATATATCCCACTTCACCTTCGATAGGGATATGTTTTATTTTTCTTTTGTACACAAAATAATTCTCATACTAGTGTCAAGTGTATATTTAATATTAAACTGACATATCTGATTATCACTATCAAAATTTGAATAGTATATTAATTTACCATACACGCAGTCTTTAAAGTGTCACATCCCGCATGTCCATAATAATTAATTTACCAAAGGGATTCACTCGGTGGGTCGTGGCTCATGCTATCAACCACTAGTTTCTCTGGTCCAAACTCTCTCCTTTACCAGCCACCGTGATGTGTCTTCATATATTTAAGCCAAGTGAAGTTTGACTTGCAGTCATCGAAATCAGTATTGATCAGAGTTATTGAGGCGAATATTACTGACGCAGTGGAGATACCGGGAAGATAGCTTCCCACTCCCATGCTCATGATGGTTTGTTTGTTTGTTTGTTTGTTGTTTAACGCCTAAATCAGCAATATTACAGCGAACTGTATGCGACTAGTGAGGACTGGTGGTAAGGATACGTGACCTGACAGATTGTGTGCCATCATACCTGAACCTCGTGATTGGTGTTCATGCTATCAACCTCATGTGGGCTCCGTGGGTAGTAACTTTAAGTACACATGCATATGCTGATCGTAAGAGGCGACTAGTTTGCTCTGGTGGATAAGTGCGTAGGTTGATCGCACATCTTCGTACTTCATGGCGGGGGAGGTGCACATAACATCAATCACTGGTCAGTCTGGTTTAGGATCGACTACATGCCACTGCCAGATAGCTGGAGCTGGAGCTGGAACAATGCTGAGAGCGGCGGTCAGTAACAAACGACAACATCAACAACAAACAGTATTATTAAAGGGATAGTGGATCATCTAAACAATTTCAAATCTGAGTGTCATGTAGTCCAAAATAGACTGTCTTCTTCGTTGTGTCTTCAGATATCAAAAAAGAATTATGTTCTGCTGAAACTATGAATAAATTTAAACCTATTTCCATACATGTCGTCTGAATTGAGCTCGGGAACATCGTTTCACAATCTCGTCACCCTGCGTCCCAACTACATATGTATGCAGGCGTTACTCTTTGACATTCAGCTTCGGATTTTACTTGCAAGTCAGTTTCATGTAATATAAATTCCCACGCTACGGTTCCGCGGGGGATTAGTAATGATCTGTGATACACTTGAAGTTGACTGTATGGAAACATGGAGGCAGAAATTGAATTCTTAGATGTCATTGGCGTTTGAATGTATAGTTTCTGAAAGCACATTTGACAATGAAACCCTGCGGATTCCTGAACAGAAAGTATCGTACAGCAGAGATGAGTAGACTTGGAATCGGGTGGTCCCAACGTACGCGTGTTACAGCCTACATATCCTACAGCGTGCATCGGTGCTTGAGCTATCAACCACTGGTTTATGTGGTCATGACTCGATTACATGTCGCCGTGTTTGTTTCTTTGTTTCTTTGTTGTTTAACGCCGCACTCGGCAATATTCCAGCAATATGACGGCGGTTTGTAAATAATGGAGTCTAGACCAGACAATCCAGTGATTGACATCATGAGCATCGATGTACACAATTTTGAAACGATGACATGCATCCACCAAGTCAGCGAGCCTGACCACCCGATCCCGTTAGTCGCCTCTAACGACAGGCATAGTCGCTTTTTACGGCAAGCATGGGTTTCTGAAGACCTATTCTACCCCGATTCTTCGCGGGTCTCATGTCGCAGTGATGTACATATGGCGTAGTATTGCCCTGCAAACGGCGTAGAACACCATTCACTCACTCACTGTATATTACATTACGTAACGGGTGCACGTGTGACCAAGTTGTTTAAGGCGATGCAATTTGCGTCCCGCATCATCGGTTGGAATCCTAGATTCGCCCTAATAGTTTCTAGGTTTGTCAGCACCTTTCTCCTGCTCATGGGTTGTACGAAAGTGTCAAGCGGCTCAGACCCGAATTACTTCCATGACAAGCGGACACCGTTATGTACTGAAATACTGCCCAAGGGGCTTTAAACCCCAGTCTCACTCACTCACGTACCCACTTACATCATTTAACATGCAGTGTACTTGTTCCTCACAACGTGGACACCCGGTGCATGACATCCCAAGCGGGTACAATATGTGAAGCCTATTCTTAGTATCTCTGTCGATATGTGTCTGGAATATTGCTGAAAGCGTCGTAAAATTTATTTCTTAAAAGTTCTTACACTAATTTGAAATTATATTGAAATTTCAAGATACGTACTTAGTTGAAATTTGCAAGATAATAACTTGAAATGTTAAGATTATAACCTGAAAATTCACCTTATTATTTTGAAATTTAAAGATACTAAGTTGAATATCAAGATAATGATCTTGAAATGACTATCTTGAAATTTCAAGAAAAATAGAAAAAGTGTCAATAAAAAGCTTCCGTATACAACAGAACTCACTCCCTACTGTTGTAGATACACGTACGGCAAGCCAGTGATGGGGTACGTGAGCCTGGAGGTGTGTCTCACCAGCTACCAGTCAACAGAACGCCCGTGCCACAGGGAAACCGTCAAGGTAAGGCAGAGAGATGGGGCTGAACGTCACTCTATATTAGCATTGACTGTAGGATTGGGTGGTGTTCTGAATACGTCATCTATATTTAACATGCACTTTGCTTTTTACGTTCTGAAAATTCATAAATTGCTGTGCAGAGTTGCGTCCCTTTGGCGCTAGAAACGTGTGTACCCGTGAAGATCCGGGGTAGAATAGGTCTTCAGCAACCCATGCTTGCCATACAAATCGACTATGCTTGTCGTAAGAGGCGACTAACGGGATCGGGGGGTCAGGCTCGCTGACTTGATTGATGCATGTCATCGTTTCCAAATTATGTACATCGATACTCATGATGTAAATCACTGGATTGTCTGGTCCAGACTCCATAACTTACAAACCGCCATCATATAGCTGGAATATTGCTCAGTGCGGCGTTAAACAACAAAGAAACAAAATATGTGTAACAATTGAACGCGACTCTAAAGCCATTTCACCTCACCTTCTATGTTAGCCCGCGCTGTGCAGTGCTCGCGAGTATATATACCAAAAGGTGTAAACGTTTAACACCGGCATCACTTTGCTCCCACGTTACGCTGACATGCCTTGATATTACCAATGAGAGCATCAAACAGCTCGTGTCCTCTATGTAACCGCGACGGTCATGTTGTATTTGTAATGGATAGTTGATAGCCCCACACCAGTAGGATGCCTGTTTTAGTGGCATAGTGTTACATTTCTCCCCCTCTGTAGCCTGTGAGTTGTACAGTGATGAATCTTTCACCAGTTCGATGGCTGCTACAAGTTCTCTGTCAACACCAGCGAGGTGGAGATGGCCAATAAAAAGTACTACTTGTATGGTTCCAAGCTCCAGATCAACGCCTCTGTTCGGGAAATTAATACAGGTGTAGTAACGACTAATAAATAATTAATGGCTTTGTCTATTTTGTACATCCGAACTAAGTGTATAAGAGAAGAGCTACTTGCCAGTAAAAGTATTATTCGTTTGATTTGATTTTTTTTTTTACAGGTATGTCATCTGCCAGGCTTATTCTTTTAATAATGAAAAAGATTGTGCTTTTTAGATGAAAAGCCATTTATTAATTCTTGTTCTTTTTATTGTGAGCAAAATACGTAACCGTCTTTTAATAGTATAGAAATTTCCAGTGAAACCATTATGCTTTCTCCTGATTTGGAACGTTTTCTTACTAGTGTATGTTTTTGTTTATTCTTTTAACAATATTAACGCAAACTGATGCGTTCTGTTCAGCTGCCGTTGTCAACAAGACAAGCACCGGCCCGGCGGTTTCCTATGACCCCCTTAAGATCACGCTCGAAGACGACACAAATGGGTTCTTTAAGCCAATCTTCCCTTACCATGGTCGCGTGAGTATCCTTCTAATCAGGCGTATGTTTTACGGCTGAATACTGTTTGAAATGTTTCATATTTTAAATACACTGCTTGCACTATGGATCATAAAGACCACAACGTGTTTATATTGCTGGTACATTTTATAAACATTCATTGAACAAAACTTTAGAACAACTTCATCTTCACCAGTATTAGCTGACTGTTAACTATCATCAACGTCAACATCAATAACCACATCATCAACAACAACATGAATATCAATAACCATATCAACAACAACAATATCCGCAACCACATCATCAACCACATCATCAACAACATCAACAACAATCACATCATCAACAACAACAATATCAATAACCATATCATCAACAACATCATCAACAACAACATCCACAACCACATCATCAACAACATCAACAATCACATCATCAACAACATTATCAACAACAACAATATCAATAACCATATCATCAACAACATCAACAATCATATCATCAACAATCATATCATCAACAAAATCAATATCAATAACCACAACATCAACAACAACATCAATACTAATAACCACATCATCACCAACAACATCAATATTAATAACCACATCATCACCAACATCAACAATGACAACATCTCAATCAACAGCAATATCATCAACAACATCAACATCGATAACCACATCATCACCAACAACATCATATAAATAATCACATCAACAACAACATCAACAATGACAACATCAAAATCAACAATCATATCATCAACAACATCAACATCGAAAACCACATCATCACCAACAACAGCATCCACAATCACATCATCAACAACATCCACAATCACATTATCAACAACAACAATATCAATAACCATATCATCAACAATATCAACAATCACATCATCACTAACAACATCAATATCAATAACCAACATCATCAACATCATCAACAACATCAACATCAATAACCACATTATCAACAACATCAATTACCACATCATCAACCACATCAATAACGACATCATCAATAACCACATCATCGTCAACAACAACACCATCAATAACCACATCATCAACAGCACTTACACAGATTTACTGAAAACTTCACACTGCTGTAGTGTACCATACACCAACGTGAGTGATTATACTATGGCCCATGTAATTAGTAAGACACATCTCAGTATGCAAGTCCTACCCCACTAGTACATAGTACATACACAGAAACACACCGAGAATCGGAGGAAGTAGCACCAGCGTTAACTGATTGAATCACAAGTAACCCATTTATTAGCGTCCCCATCACTATCACCACCATCTCCACCAGCATTGAACGACTGAACTACTGTCTTCTGTTTCTAGGCGGTGGTAACGACTCCCGACGGAAAGCCAGCACCTGGAGAGCTGATCGAAGTGTCACTGGTGGACTACCGTAACGACATACGTCTCTCCAACAACTACACCTCTGACAGTGACGGCATCATCCACTTCAGTGTGTGTGACATCATCACCGAGAAGACACAAGACTTCAGCATTGATGTAATGTCTGTTACAGTAGCATAAAGGCATATTCAGACCCTATGTAGTTGTCCTTCTGTACCAGAGTCCACGGTGGCCAACTTGCCTAAAGCACCGCAATTTGTACGTAGTTACACCCCTTATATGTGCCAGGATGTACTGATCGTGGGTTCGAATCCAAGATCTTCCCCATTATGATTCTTGATGTTTCAGGACCATAATCCTGTTCCTGGGTTTTATCTAATGTGGTACACGTCTACGACCTGCATTACGTAGGTGTAGGTTTACCTCGGTATAACGCTGACACGCCTTGACAGTGACACGCCTTGGTAGAGACACGCCATGACAGTGACACGCAATGACAGTGACATGCCTTGACAGTGGCACGCCTTGACAGTGGCACACCATGATACTGACACGCATTGACATTGACGCGCAACGACAGTGACACACCTCGACAGTGACACGCCATGATAGTGACACGCCATGACAGTGACACGCCACGACAGTGACAGGTCTTGACAGTGACACGCCTTGACAGTGGCACACCATGATATTGACACGCCTTGACAGTGACGCGCCACGACAGTGACACGCAATGACAGTGACATGCCTTGACAGTGGCACACCATGACAGTGACACGCCTTGACAGTGACACGCCTTGACAGTGACACGCCACGACAGTGACACGCCATGACAGTGGCACACCATGACAGTGGCACACCATGACAGTGGCACACCATGACAGTGACACGCCACGACAGTGACGCGCCACGACAGTGACACGCCACGACAGTGACACGCCTTGACAGTGACACGCCACGACAGTGACACGCCTTGACAGTGACACGCCTTGACAGTGACACGCCTTGACAGTGACACGCCTTGACAGTGACGCGCCACGACAGTGACACGCCTTGACAGTGGCACACCATGACAGTGACACGCCTTGATAGTGACACGCCTTGACAGTGACACGCCACGACAGTGACACGCCACGACAGTGGCACACCATGACAGTGACACGCCTTGACAGTGACACGCCATGATAGTGCCACGCCATGTCGGTGCCACGCCATGATAGTGACACGCCATGACAGTGACACGCCATGATAGAGCGAAACCACTGATCTTCCACTGTCCAGTGAGATGTCTGTTAATGTGTCTTCGTTCTTGGCCTTTCTATTTCCATAAACATTCTACCGAGATATTTCATAATACTTGATTCTGATGGGTCAATCAAATTCAATTGAGACCTACCAAATCTACAAGTGACATATATGTAAATAGACGCCAAACACAATAAGTTTGCATCCGAAATAAACTGTCAGGACTACCTTTTCTTTAAATACACTTGTCATCAAACAGTAAATTTCAGATGACAATTCACCAGGGATAAATGTACCCATTGCAACATTAACTCTATACTTGGTCTAGTCCATTAATTGCTTCCTTTTCAGGCGAAGGCAGTCCTATACGCCGACGCGTCCACTTACTACGGGCTCTCCAACACCCTGTATATGCCCCGGGCATACAAGACGGTGAAACAATGGTACTCCCCCTCGCTCAGCTACATCGCCATTCCCCGCCAGAGCCGCACCGTGTCGTGTGGCGGAGAGCTGGAAGTGACCGTCCCGTACACCACCACCCTCAACACATACACCAAGTTCTACTACCAGGCAAGTCAGGCTGGGCCCGGCATACTTCTACTGTGTGCATCATTGTTGTAATGTGACATTGTTGTGACATTATTGTGACATTGTTTTGACATTATTGTGACATTGTTTTGACATTATTGTGACATTGTTGTAATACATTATTATTGTGACATTGTAACATTGCTGTGTTGCAAGTTTATGTTGACGTTGTAGTGATGTCATTGCGGTATGGAGATATTTGACATTATTCAAAAGTCAGATCGTTAAATACCTGAGTGTAAAGTGTAAATACAGAGTGTGTGTCTCGTATACTTCCCGAGAAAGTAAACGGGATGAAAAAGGAAAGGATTAACGTGAGGTAAACCGTTTTGGGTAGAGATAAAACTACCAGACGCCAGATGCATGTAAGCCTTGTTTGACAACGGTATAAGAATCTATACCGAAACATCGCATTTAAAGTAAATAAAGAGCTTGTTATACATAAAATGTGTCTACTTTGTCGTCCGTCAACTTCTAAGTAATACCTATCAAACAATTTACATGATATGTTGTTTATCATACCTGACAACTTACCTTTACTATCTGCTCCCACATCCAGGTGATGTCCCGTGGTCGAATCCTGCATACTGGACACAAAATGCACCACTTCCTGAAGCACGACTCCACGGAGTTCCTGGAGGTTCCAATGGCATCGTGCCTCCAGAAGGTACCTGACCCGTCCCCGCCCCCAGAGATTGGGGAGGGAGATGCAGAGGAGGGCGGGGATGAAGGTGCCCAGAAAGAAGGGGAGGCTATCGAAATTGTAGACCCTCCCGCGGAGATGTCGGCGGGAGTAATGCAGCAGGGTGGACTGTACCAGTCTCTGGGGGTGCGGAGGAAACGGGCACCTGTTATCGGTGAGTTGGAACAGATGAGGGATGGGGAGGAAGAGGAGGGGGAACAGATGAAGCATGACAACAAAACTCGTGAGGGAAATTACACGTTTGAGGAGGGTGGTGGCAAGCATGTACACGGAGCTGACAATCAGGGGAATTACACCGCAAACGACACTAGCTCCCAGCATGAGAGGGATGACACGCATGTGGAGAGTGATGATGGTGCTGCTGCACATGAAGAGGCTGGTGGTGATGTCGTGCATGATGAGGGTGTTGGCGGTGATGTGCACGAAGAGGGTGGTGGTACCCTGCATGAAGAGGCGGGTGGCGGTACCCTGCATGAAAATGCTGGTGGCGGGTCCGTGCATGATGAAGATGCTGGCGGTAAAGTGCATGACGAGGGTGGTGGTGATGCTGTTCATGATAAGGGTGGTGGCGGTGCCTTAGGGAATTACACATTAGAAGAGTCAGATCCTGTGCATGAGGCAAATAACACGCATGAAGTACATAGTAGGAGAGAGGATGGAAATAACACGCATGAAGTACACAGTAGGAGAGAGGATGGAAATAGCACGCATGGAGAGGATGAAATCACACTGACTGACACCAACGATACATCTGAGCATACTAGTGATGCCAGGGAGAAGATGTTACCATATAATGAGGGAAATCGAACTCAAGAAGAGGGAAATTATACGCTTGAATCGGGGAAACAAACACATGAAGAAGGGGACCACACGCGTGATGATGATGTTACTAGGAGTGACCGTTTAACCAACGATGGAAAAGTAACTGTTCAACCTGTGAGAGGCGCGCTAAATAAAGCGGTTGATAAACAGGCTAATGTCAGTCAAGGGTTGGGAGGGGAAATACAAAATGACCAATCGGAGGGAAACGAAAACGATACAGATGTGCAAGATATTGACAAGTCCGGTACAGATAATCTAACGACACATAGTGACCCCTCTGACCACGCCCTATCTGATGTGAGAACCGTGGGTGTAGGAGGCAACGGTTCGCGGGGAGGTGATGGGGGTGATATGGGAAATACTCTTTCGGAGATGGGAAATGAGACCTCAAAAGAGGGACAAATGAATTCTAAGGATAATTGCAGTAACGGGGATGCAGATGATTTAGGAAATGATGATTATGGTTACGATGAATATGATGAATATGACGATGATGATGATGATGATTATGATGAATACGATGAATACGATGAGGATGATAGAGGTAGAAACCAGATATCTGAGGATATATACGGAGAAGAGCCTATCCAAGCGGCTATTTTCAGACCTTTTGGTTTGAGGAGAAAGCGGGCGTCTGGTATAGGTGAGTGTAGGTAGCTAGCTGTAAGTTGCAGGTCAGACAACCATCGACAAACAAGATGGAAACTATGACAATGAAAAGTCCACCTCTTTGACCGCCCATGTAACTACATACCCAACTGCCTCGCTATCAGACAAACTTTTAGCCAAATGATCAAAAATGTTTAGTACATGACAAAGATAGGGAAAATCTTTATGCCTTGACCCGCGGGGCTTTTGTTACAAAACGTGGTGACCATAGATACAGTTACACATATATCTTTAGAGGTTCAGGACAATTTGTCAAAAATGAAAGCAAATGCCATCTGAAGTTTGCTGAAAAAAACAGTACGTGAAATGCTGGACTTCCTCATTGATAACATCTATGTAAAGGTTTGGGGAAAGATATTTAGTCAAGAAGTAGGCATCCCCACTGACACCAAGTGTGCTCCCCTTCCCGTTGAGCTTTTGAATCAGAATTTCTGCTAGGATTGGCAAAGTCAATAGAAGATAATCTGGCCAAGAAGTTTAACGTCAGCTTCAGGTATATCGATAATCTGATATCGTTCCTTTCACTTTTTACCCACCTGAGCTAGAAAAAAAGGAGACCAGTGAGACCGCCTCATCTGTTCCATATGTAGATCTATGCATAAAGATTCAGAGTGACAAAACACTCTCCACAAGACTGTAGTACAAAAGGGATGACTTCAACTTTCCATTAGTCAACTTTCCCTTTATGTCGAACAATTTTCCTGCAGCTCCAGCCTTTGGTGTTTACATTTCACAACTTTGGAGGTGCAATTGAGCATGCTCTTTCTACCAAGATTTTAAAGTTGTTTGATCAAGGTTACAACATTGAAAACCTCAGTAAAGCTTTCAAAAAGTTTTTTGGTAGACATGAGTGGAGGACATTTCCAAATTTGATGCATCAGTGACAAAAGTGATGTCCGAAGCATTCCTTATTTGACTTGTACCGTATGTCCCCGTATTTTTTCAGGTGAACAATTGACTTGCCTTTGCATGTGTTTGTGACCGAAGTCACATTACTGTTTGACAGTGGTTCACAGAGACATACTCATGATATAGTCAGAATCGTACAATCGACTCATGAATATGGAAAGGGTTTTGTCCTTTTGATATTTACAAACACATGATGACTGTCCTGACGCCGAATACTCTCCCAAAATCTATATCTTTCTTTGTTTGTCAAGTTGAACTTTTATTTTATTTCAGCTATCATGTAATTGGTACAGTAGGAATATAATAGGCATGCTGGGTGCTTTCCCGTTAGTCTGCAATCTTGAACCAATCCGATTAAACACACAAAACGTAAATTCATCTGCTAAATATAGCAAGTCAATCACAAACCTTTTCCAAATTGACGATGATGGCATTCCAAGGACACACACAAAGCTATTATATATATGTCACTACATTCAGGGTTAGAGAGCAAATTCAAAATACTTGTAATGGCTGCTTCCACACTGATGGCAGCGATGATACCGGGAGGGCAACGAAGGTGTCACGTGCTGGGAAGGAGCGTGTAGCACAGGGCCATGTAACTAATTATAATAAACAAACTCGCAAAAAAACTCGCAGGCGAGGCCAAGTTTTTTAATTAGTAGTAGTAGGGCTGGGATGGGTAACTCGGGTACCCGGGTAGGGTGGGTATAGAGTAGGACCCGGGTACCCACAGGACTACCTGGTCTCGTGGTTAGTCATGTGATGTATTCTCTGATGAATAAACTTATCTGGACCTCTACGGTTACTACAAGTCACTAACGGGTAATAAGGGGGCGGGTACCCGGGTAGGGTAGGGTAATAGGGGGGCGGGTAGTAAATTTGGACTCGTCCCAACCCTAATTAGTAGTAGTAACATGGTCATGTGCTTGTAGATACATGTAGAAAGGGAGGTAACTCCCATCAGTACGATTACTTCATGTTCATTTTATATTTCACCATACATACCCTAAAATATTTTGCAATAATCCGATCCTACCCCAGTCCCCACCCAACACACACTTGTAAACCTCTTAACAAAAAGACGTAACTCTGTATTAAACGTTGCTATGTAACAGTTTGGGAATATTTCATTGACATGCAGACAGTGATGCCATATCGTGTTGACTGTGTTCTGACGAAACTGTTTCTGTTTCAGCTGCGGAGATGGCTGGTAATGACCTGTCTGACGAGATGGAAGGTGGTGAGGGTGGCGAGGAACCACCCGCCGGACCAACCGGACCCCCTCCGCCCCCTCCCCCCTCACGACACGTGTCCCACTTCACCCTCCGGGTACCGGTGACGGAGGAGATGTCCCCAGAGGCTAGTCTGCTAATCTACTACGTCCGGGACGACGGGGAGACCGTGGCCGACAGCATCAACTTCGACGTAGAAGCGTGCTTTAAGAACAAGGTGAGGTCACGTGTTTGAAAGGCATTTAGAAGTGATACACACAAGGAAGAGAATGTATGGATGTCATCTTCTTTATTATGAGGGACACAACGTTTCGAAGTTTATACTTACACCTTCATCAGGTGAATGAATGCCCTGAGCCAGAGAGCATACATATTGAAGGTAAGGACAACAAAAGTAATAAGAATAAAAAAAATGGAAACTTAACAAGGGAAGCCAACAGATAATTGGCGCCGATAGGTGATTAGCAATAGACAATGGAAGCTAACACTTTACAGTAATTAGCGCTGATAGTTATGGACAACTGGAAGCAAGGACTAAATTAAAAATGGAACAATGGGCAAACGGGAGGCCGGGGGTAATTAGCACTGACAGGTAAAAGCATAGAAATAGCAAAGGGCAAATGGACGCCAGCTCGATAATTGGCACCGACAAAGATCAAAGCAATAAGTCCAGAAGGTGGGTTTGTGTGGAAGCTTGTTTCACTGAATATACGAACCGTATTTCAGTTTGAATGCAGAGTTTGCGGTAATGCTTGCAACCTGATAGAGTAGAATATCCCTACCCCAAAACTCTTCACTTGATAATGTCAACAACAAAAAGAGGGACAACATCAACACCAATTTGCAATCCTAGCTATCAATCCCCCCCCCCCCCCCCCCCCCCCCCCCAGACAGGCCACTATCTTTGGCGTTAATTTGGCGTTAATACCTTAACGGAAGTTGGTTGTCTGTCGATGTCTGCGGTCCAGACGCCAGAAAGGTCTTCATTCTTGATCACACCCCAGCGTGTGTTGAACGTAAGGTTCTCTCATATCCCCTTCCTATTGATGTTTCGGGGATGTTGGACCCCCTGGGGATTCATTCGTAGAAATTGCGTTAAGTACAATCGACTGGTTTACAGAATCGACTGAAATGTAGATTGTGTGGTCTTGAAATGAATGTGTGTCCACTATACCTCGACGGCGGGCGTCGTTACTTATGCTATCAACCATTGGTTTAGACGGTTAAGACCCGATTACACATTAATCTATAGTCAGACCAATTTATCTCAAATGTACCGATATCTCGACCGCCTCTCTATACAAATACATATACATTTAAATACCTATCTCGAAAGTCAGATAAAGAATACACAGCGCTATCACGAACATTGGACTTATCTTTGACTTTACTATCGAATTTTGTACTTATACATTAAAATGTACAGTGCAATTAGAACCAGTTGTTAAATTGTTATTGGTCATTGCCTGCGAAAAAATCTTTTTTTTTATCATGGCATACACGTGTTGTGTGATTTTTCTCGTGTATGCAATCGTATCGCTAGGGATCTGTCACGTGATCTGTTTGGCTGGCCATGGCTCCCTATCTCAACTGTCGTGACATCTTGACTGACTGACTGAGTATGGTTTTACGCCGCTTTTAGCAGTATTCCAACAATATCACGGCGGGGGACACCAGAATTGGGCTTCACACATTGTACCCATGTCGGGAATCGAACCAGGGTCTTCGGCGTGACGAGCAAACGCTTTAACCACTAGGCTACCCGACCGCCCCCATGACATGTTGAAGTTACAACACGATCCGGCTAGGTTCGAGATACAGGGTTTTGTAGTTGAAATAGTGGCATAACACAGCATTCACTCACTCACTCGCTCACTCACTCACCCATATATCTGGGAAATCATGCAGTGGTGTATTTTGTGTCCTAGACCCAACATGGCTGCGATATTTATGTCCTATCGGCTCAAACCTTGACTCAGGGGCGTATATGTTCTCATTGCAGGTGAAATTTGATTTCCTGGAGAAGAAAGTCATACCAGGAAGGGAGGCAACTCTTCGGCTACAAGCAGAACCGGGATCACTCTGCTCGATAGGAATGATTGACAAAAGTATTAATATTCTTGGAGGAGACCACCAGTTGACACCTGAAAAGGTAATCAATCAATCGATCGATCGATCAATCAATCAATCAATCAATCAATCAATCAATCAATCAATCAATCAATCGATCAATCGATCAATCGATCAAACAATCAATCGATCAAACAATCAATCGATCAAACAATCAATCGATCAAACAATCAATCAAACTATGATCTTCCTCCATGACCATGTCATTCCGGGACACGCCTTCCTGCATGTAATGGAGAGGAATGTGTGGTGACGAATGTACATACTGTCTGAACTTGATATAGTATCAGAAAATTAGAAGTACAATTTTCATAATTATTTGTTCATGTATATCAATATTTATATATATTTTTAATCATTGCTGTTCCTATGTAAAACATAAGTTTAGCAGCATAATATTTATTTGGTTGTACAAAAATGTGATACATTCGGAGCCTATGTGGCACGTAAACCCAAATCTCATTGGCAGGAAATACATGTATATGGCAATGTTTACCGAGGGTTACGTATGTGAGGGAGTTTATAGTGCTAGCCCACCGAGATACCACGCTGCAGTTTAACAATAACACACCACTCAGACACAGTTTACTCACTCCGAGCCGACCAGTCCTTGTTTATATATATTTGTCTTCTTCAGATGTTCGATATACTAAAGAAATACGGCAATGGCGGGGAACAGTACCATTACTATAAGCGTGACAAAGAATACTGTGAGCGAAAGGTGAACGGTAAGTACACTGCATGGAACGAGAAAGTGGTACACTTGTTAACGATCTGTCACTGCACAGCACAAGTTGCTGCTCTTTGTACATTGGGTTCTACAATGTGTGTGACAGTGTTCTACAATGTGTGTGACAGCTTCCTACAATGTGTGTGACAGTGACCTACAATGTGTGTGACAGTGTTCTACAATGTGTGTGACAGTGTTCTACAATGTGTGTGACAGCTTCCTACAACGTATGTGACAGTGTTCTACAATGTGTGTGACAGTGTTTTACAATGTGTGCGACAGTGTTTTACAATGCGTGTGACAGTGTTCTACAATGTGTGTGACAGCTTCCTACAATGTATGTGACAGTGTCCTACAATGTGTGTGACAGTGTTCTACAATGTGTGTGACAGTGTTTTACAATGTGTGTGACAGTGTTTTACAATGTGTGTGACAGTGTTTTACAATGTGCGTGACAGCTTCCTACAATGTATGTGACAGTGTCCTACAATGTGTGTGACAGTGGCCTACAATGTGTGTGACAGTGGCCTACAATGTGTGTGACAGTGTTCTACAATGTGTGTGACAGTGTTTTACAATGTGTGTGACAGTGTTCTACAATGTGTGTGACAGTGTTTTACAATGTGTGTGACAGTGTTCTACAATGTGTGTGACAGCTTCCTACAATGTATGTGACAGTGTCCTACAATGTGTGTGACAGTGGCCTACAATGTGTGTGACAGTGGCCTACAGTGTGTGTGACAGTGTTCTACAATGTGTATGACAGTGTTCTACAATGTGTGTGACAGTGGCCTACAGTGTGTGTGACAGTGTTCTACAATGTGTATGACAGTGTTCTACAATGTGTGTGACAGTGTTTTACAATGTGTGCGACAGTGTTTTACAATGCGTGTGACAGTGTTCTACAATGTGTGTGACAGCTTCCTACAATGTATGTGACAGTGTCCTACAATGTGTGTGACAGTGTTCTACAATGTGTGTGACAGTGTTTTACAATGTGTGTGACAGTGTTTTACAATGTGTGTGACAGTGTTTTACAATGTGCGTGACAGCTTCCTACAATGTATGTGACAGTGTCCTACAATGTGTGTGACAGTGGCCTACAATGTGTGTGACAGTGGCCTACAATGTGTGTGACAGTGTTCTACAATGTGTGTGACAGTGTTTTACAATGTGTGTGACAGTGTTCTACAATGTGTGTGACAGTGTTTTACAATGTGTGTGACAGTGTTCTACAATGTGTGTGACAGCTTCCTACAATGTATGTGACAGTGTCCTACAATGTGTGTGACAGTGGCCTACAATGTGTGTGACAGTGGCCTACAGTGTGTGTGACAGTGTTCTACAATGTGTATGACAGTGTTCTACAATGTGTGTGACAGTGGCCTACAGTGTGTGTGACAGTGTTCTACAATGTGTATGACAGTGTTCTACAATGTGTGTGACAGTGTTTTACAATGTGTGTGACAGTGTTCTACAATGTGTGTGACAGTGTTCTAGGGGCGCCCTGTACATGTGATTGTACAATGTGTATGACAATTTTCTACAGATGAGGAACGCACCCCGGAGCACGAAATGTATGGGGAATGGTGGCACTACTCATCACGATACGTTGACGCCGTCGAAGCTTTCAGGGTGAGCATTGCACACAGATTTCGGTCCTTTCTCACCAAGACGACGATTGACTTGTTAATGGAATGTGACAAGTGATTTGCCTTAAGGCTATGTTCCAGTAAGTTGAAGTAAGAATGGTCACTTCTAATTGGATTCCGTTTTCATGCCACATTACGACACTTCAAAACCTCAAATCTTGTCAGCTGAGAGAAGTTTGTTATATTTTGCTTCATCAACGGATTACCATCTTGTGCTCACCAAAATGCGATTATCGCTGATGCGTTTATTTACTTGGTGACTTGACTGGATTGTAGATATTGGATTGTTACTGAATTGCAAGATAGGTTTCAGAAAACAAAGGAAACCATATGTGGCAGGAAACAGTATCTGCTGCTCTGCTTGTGTCTGTCAATCATCCATTGTCGTCAACTGAGAAATCTTGGTCCTGTTCCAAACAGTGATCTTAGCTATACGATTGTCGTAATTCTGTATTAAAATATGGAAGTAGAGCTATGATGGTATAGGCTGTAAGACTGCTTTGTGAAACGAACCCTTGTAATTTAAACAAAGAGGCGATGGTAGCCTAGTTGCTTAATCTTTCGCTCGTCACGCCAAAAGTCCGAGTTCGGTTTCTCATATGGGTACAATGTGTGAAGACCATTTCTTGTGAAGCCCGTTTCTTGTGTCCCCCGCCGCGATATTGCTGGAATATTTCTAAAAGCGGCGTAAAACATACTCACTCACTGACTATTTCAGCAAATGGGGATGGCAGTTGCGACGAATATGTTGCTGGAGACGCGGCCCTGTTCTAAGGAGTATGCTGTGTTGTACGAGGGTAAGGACTGTCACTGACACTCACACACTCACTGAGTAGAGTTTTAGAGATAGTTTGTGAGACGTAATTGACAATATTTAAACTCATAAATATAGCCTTAGCATGGAAGTAACAAAAAGAAATGTGAATATAAGGAAGCGCTATTACTGTCACTCTGTATGTTTAGTGATGGGTGGTACGTTGTTCAGTGTAACCTCAAACATAAATAAAGGATGCATACATCTACCAGGGTAAAACAAATCTATCCGGTCCATCTATGGATTGGTGACTTGAGGTCTATCTAAAGATGGATAGCTTGAGGCCTGTCTAAAGATTGATGGCTTGAGGTCATCTTGGCATGGGTGACTTGAGGCCTGTCTAAAGATGGATAGCATGAAGTCATCTTGGGATGGATGGCTTGATGTCTGTCTAAAGATGGATGGCTTTGGGTCTGTCTAAAGATGGGTGACTTGAGGCCTGTCTAAAGATGGATGGCATGAAGTCATCTTGGGATGGATGGCTTGATGTCTGTCTAAAGATGGATGGCTTGGGGTCTGTCTAAAGATGGATGGCTTGAGGTCTGTCTAAAGATGGATGGCTTGGTGTCTGTCTAAAGATGGATGGCTTGAGGTCTGTCTAAAGATGGATGGCTTGAGGTCTGTCTAAAGATGGATAGCTTGAGGCCTGTCTAAAGATGGATGGCTTGAGGTCTGTCTAAAGATGGATTGCTTGAGGTCTGTCTAAAGATGGATAGCTTGAGGCCTGTCTAAAGATTGATGGCTTGAGATCATCTTGGCATGGGTGACTTGAGGCCTGTCTAAAGATGGATGGCATGAGGTCATCTTGGCATGGGTGACTTGAGGTCTGTCTAAAGATGGATGACTTGAGGTCATCTAGATATGGGTGACTTGACCCCCTAATCTGTACCTACCACGTCATAACCATTCCTCATTGTGTTCTGTGTTTGCAGAAGGCGGGCTGCCCGGCCCTGGGGGAGGACAGAGGGTGCTGCCACTCGGTATTCCCCTCAGCGCAGCACAAAAAAAGAAACCTTCCGGCTCTGTTCTCCGAAGCTATTTCCCCGAAACCTGGCTTTGGGAGCTGGAACAAGTGGGGTAGGTTGTTACATGGTGTCTCTTACTGAAGATTAGAGTGAGTGATTTGGGTTAAAAGCCACCTTGAACAGTATTTCAGTTAGATCACGGCGTGGCAGCTTTGTATGGGTTGAAAGCCCGAATAAACATAACAAGGGAGAATCAGAGTTTCGAACCTATGATTTTAGGTTTCTAAAACGACAGGGGCACCCGTGCCCTCATGAATATTGGACTTAAATCCATTCTTATTCTTCACCTTTGCTTTGACGTTATGAATTTAATGAAGCTTGTCTATTCAGGTTCACAATTCCCACTTTGATGGCTACTGCTTAAAGCAAAGTGTTAAAGTGGTACTTACTTGTAACTATTTGTCAGGTCTGTATACAGCTCCAATCCTTTTATGATCAACGTGAGCTTCACAGAACTTCATTGCAAGACTTCATCAATTTTATTGTGATGAAGTTGTAGTTCCCGTGCGTATATTGCAGTGACACAGGAGAGTTGGAACTGAGGAAGACTACCCCTCACACGATCACCCGCTGGGTCGGAAATACCATCTGCACCAGCCAGTCAGCGGGAGTTGGGGTGGCTCCAATGACGTCATTGACAACCTTCCAGCCATTCTTCTTGAGTATACATCTCCCGTACGCTGCAGTCAGAGGGGAGAGGCTTCCACTCCATGTTACTATCTTCAACTACCTTGAGAAATGTCTGTATGTAAGTATTGTGGTAGCTGACTACATTGAGAAATGTCTGTATGTAAGTATTGTGGTAGCTGATTACCTTGAGAAATGTCTGTATGTAAGTATTATGGAGGCTGGCTACCTAGAGAAATGTCTGTATGAAAGTATTGTGGAGGCTGGCTACATTGAGAAATGTCTGTATGAAAGTATTATGGAGGCTGGCTACCTAGAGAAATGTCTGTATGAAAGTATTGTGGAGGCTGGCTACCTAGAGAAATGTCTGTATGTAAGTATTATGGAGGCTGGCTACCTAGAGAAATGTCTGTATGTAAGTATTGTGGAGGCTGGCTACCTAGAGAAATGTCTGTATGTAAGTATTGTGGAGGCTGACTACCTAGAGAAATGTCGGTATGTAAGTATTATGGAAGCTGACTACATTGAGAAATGTCTGTATGTAAGTATTGTGGAGGCTGACTACATTGAGAAATGTCTGTATGTAAGTATTGTGGTAGCTGACTACCTAGAGAAATGCCTGTATGTAAGTATTGTGGAGGCTGACTACCTAGAGAAATGTCTGTATGTAAGTATTGTGGAAGCTGACTACATTGAGAAATGTCTGTATGTAAGTATTATGGAGGCAGACTACCTAGAGAAATGTCTGTATGTAAGTATTGTGGAGGCTGGCTACCTAGAGAAATGCCTGTATGTAAGTATTGTGGAGGCTGACTACCTAGAGAAATGTCTGTATGTAAGTATTGTGGAAGCTGACTACATTGAGAAATGTCTGTATGTAAGTATTATGGAGGCAGACTACCTAGAGAAATGTCTGTATGTAAGTATTGTGGAGGTTGACTACCTTGAGAAATGTCTGTATGTAAGTATTATGGAGGCTGGCTACCTAGAGAAATGTCTGTATGTAAATATTGCGGAGACCACCTGGGGTAGTCGATATATGACGGTGACATGCAAGCAGTCTTTTTTTAGTTATTTTGTATTTTAAAATATGAGTTCAAGAGTCACTGTGTGATCGTATAGGGACACCTTTAGTGCAGGTGATTCATGTTAAAAATGTTGTATTTTGTGAATAATGGAAACACTGAAGACGTACTGTATCAAGGAGAAATGGCAGAGAGTCTTGGGTAGGAATAACATTATACGTTTTACACTCTCTTACCCAGGCTGTCTCAACAGACTGACAATATCTTGACCTTGGAGTCAGGGTGGGGTGGTCGGTTGTGAGCGGGTGCTGGCATTCTAGTGGGGGTAAGGGTGGGCATGGATGGATATTTGTTCGATACAGAATATGTTAACGATCACCGCTTCAAGAGCCAGCGAACTTAGTTAAGAACACCCAGGATGTTCAACGAATATTTTGTTAGTGTAATACTCCAAATTGATGCGTGGCGTTGTCAGTGTCCCGTCATGTTACAGATGCAGGTGAACGTGGAGACGGGCGACGACATCACTCTGACAGTACGGGACCACCTCAAGCTTCCATTCTGTCTCTGTGGGGGCAAGAGTAAGACACAGAGCTACTACATCTCCGCGAAAGAAGTTGGAAAACTCCCAATTGTTGCCAGGGTGAGTGTACTGGTAACCTGGTAACAATATATTAGAGTTAAATATACGCGAAATATGCGCAATAATTTTAATGTGAACCTTAAAGTTTAACAAATGTTCCACAATGACATTAATGTTCACATATTGTTCGTGAAGAAATTCGAATGTGAAGTGCCTGTATACGTGCACTAGAGTGTGTTGATTTGAAAAATTGGATGTTTTAGGCGGAAATAGTCCCCGGGACATGCGACAACAACATAGAACCTGACACGGAATACATAGGCCTTTCTGATGCTGTCAAGAGAGAGTTGTTTGTTAAGGCAAGTCTCTATAGTTGACCATACTGAGTATGAATACTGAAAAAAACATATCAAGTCAAGTTAATTAGGGCCTGTAAATTAAACATTAGTGAACATAAAATGTAATTTAAATAAACTATTTTATTCTTGCCTTCGATGAACACGATATCTGCTTCTTTCGCAGGTTGAGGGGGTGACACAAGAATATACCAAGAGTCTCTACATCTGTCCGAAAGGTAACAGTTTTTACTGTCTTACATCTTTCCCAGACATAGATCAGGAAGAATATTTTGAAGTACAGTAAACTACGGTTATAACGAACACGCTTATAACGAACTGACGGATATAACGAACTTACTTTTTTGTCCCGACTGTTTGCTGTAGTTATGCTGTATATATACTTATAACGAACTACGGTTATAACGAACTAAAATTAGTAGTCCCTTTGAGTTCGTTATAACCGTACTTTACTGTAATCTAACATTTCCCATGATATGTGTTCTCTATAGTTTATACTCAAATAACTAAATTCTTTAGTCACTGCTGCATCAAGGTATCAGAACCCGTATATCATGGACACGTTTGTGCTTGTAGATTCTGACGTAACGAGGGAAGAGGTGGAACTGCCCTTGCCTGATGACATTGTGAGGGACTCCGCTAGAGGCCATGTATCTGTCATTGGTAGGTGTGCCATGTCACAGACGAAGACGACTTGTTTGATCAGCACACTTTTAGTGAGAGTATGGTTTAATGCCCTTGTAGCAATGTTTCAGCAATATCATGGCGGGGGACACCAAACGTGCACCTTTACATAGAGTAGGCACGAGTGTGAGCTAGGGCTGACTTGATTGTAACTCCGGTTTGAACAGTACGCAAGTTACGGAATGTCGTCTCAGTGAGGTACGACAAACTAGAGTTCTCTTTAACTGTGGTGGGACTCACGCGTCCTATCGAGCTGACTGACCTGAATCAATCTTGGGGCGAATCTTGGAACGGAAACCTCAGTCAGAGGATATGCAGTCGTGTGCAGACGGGTTCTCTCAGCATTATGACTTTTCATTACCTCTGAGATTTGTATATCGTGTGGTTCAGTTTTATATTAATGAGAAGAAGACTCCGGACTTCTCCCTACTGGTTAACAGGAGTCCTTGGACTTCTGGTCCTGTCAGTACACGACTTGAGTAATAAACGACTGGTGGTCGTTGTTTATCGTACAATTAAACACTGCAGGGAAAATAAACCATAACGGCGGTGTTTCATTATACCATAAAGAACGACCACGAGTCTTTCATTTCTTATATGAGATTTTGTATGTCTCTTAATGTTAATAGAATGTACAAGCTTCAAAGATATTTACCCGTATTTAAATCATGATGACTCCCTGAATACAGTCCTACCTCGGCAGTCGTAACAAGGGGGTTACGTTTGGTATTTCCCAGACAATTTTCACGTCCATTTTATGTACCTTTTCTCCCAAAATTGACTTTGCAAACCTCTCCCACTTTTGGATGCGATCATTCGGCCATTGCGGTCATCTGCGATGCCCAGCTGCTTCTGTGGGGAACATCTTACTAGACACTTCCCTCTACGCCGTCATCAAGTTGCGAGCGCATGTTCGAATCTCCGGAAATGACGTCATGATAGAACACGCTTCATTCTTCATTGTTCTTTGCGATTTTTCGCGTAGCTTTCTTACATACCGCCATAAACGATTGGGATATATTTGCACGTTAGCGGGAAGGACCTATTTATACAAAACTAAAGCATTTCGTTATAGAGATGGTGTTGTTTACGTGATATGACTAAATAGGTCTCCCACCAAACTAATATCTAAACAACCAGGCAAAAGACAGTATGTTCTTGAAAATTAGGTTTAACCCCAAAAATGCAAATGCTATCTAAACTAGGTTGAAAACGGTAGCTGGAACACAGCACACTTAAGGTAAAAACACAACTGTATCAAATACATCACCATGGAATAACCATTTCTTGTTTGTTTCGTTTTTAGCCAATATCAAACATGGGTGTGACCTTTCTTTTGCCCGGTAGTTTACTTGTCGGAGAGAGAATCCCTTTTGTCATGGAATCTAGATCGTTCATAACGAATTCCTCAAAGATTGAATAGTATTAAGTAGGCTTATCAAATAGTTATGAATTATGGCGTTGAATGGCATTGCAGGTGACATCATGGGACCAGCGCTGAGTAACCTTGACAACCTGGTCCAACTTCCGACCGGATGTGGCGAACAGACGATGATCAGCTTCTCCCCCAACATCTACGTCCTCAAGTATCTGACCTTCACCTCCCAGCTGACTGACGAGATGAAACTTCTCTGTGAGAGATACATGGAAATCGGTGAGAACTGTTTTCTGTAGAGGTGAAACGATACAGGGAGGTCACGATATGATACAAAGGTCATGATACGTATCGCGATATGCATATTTACGTCAAATCGCGTGGAAATGTCTTGACTATGAATATTTCAGAGCAGGTTGAAACGTAAAAGCTAGCTGTAGACACATGTTCGTTGCAGCTCGCTTTAGTAGTGAACTTTATTACAACACAATTTGCGAGTGTTGACTGAGTGTATCGTGAGTTCGCTTGAACGCCGTTGTTAAACAGTATTTGAGTATATGTGGTGTGTTAGTGTGATGGAAATCCCAGAGTGATGCAGGCGTTAGACGTTAACCATTTTGGTGCAACCCATGAGTTCGAGTGTTCGAGTCTGGTGCTGACAGACCAAGGACCCTGGCCTGGCATCGGGTACAGGACATCGGGAACACAGTACAAGAGGATCCTGTCAGCAAAGGGGCACAACTCTTTACAGCACCGGATCACCCCTGACTCATTGTGATATAGCCACAAGATTGCTCACCTGGATAATATTAAACCCCTGTCCTTAGCGATTCATTACTGTTACCATTCTTGATTAGCCTCCTGGGAATGCCGTCCAAATTGTAAGCTTGGTGCACCACGAATGGGCTATCCACGTTATGCTGAATGGTAGTTCTCTGTGAGATAGAATTGTGAAACAGAAGCATGCACTTTGGTCAGTGATGAATTTTACTGACATAACCTGAAGATAGTAGAGATAGAGTAGATGGTTCTCAGGTTACCCTGAACTGAACGATTCCACATCAGCAACAGCAGATACATCACTTACATCAGCTTACATGTAACAAACGGTCATTTTGCAACAGGCTACACCAGAGAACTGAACTACAGGCACGACGATGGCTCCTTCAGTGCATTTGGGAAGAGCGACGCCTCAGGCAGCACATGGCTCACGGCCTTCGTCGTTAAGTCGTTCGCCCAGGCCCAGCGCTTCATTTACATCGACCAAACCAACCTGGCCACCAGTGTGTCCTTCCTCAAGTCCACCCGGATGGAGAACGGGTGTTTCCGGGAGGTGGGGAAAGTCTTCAGCTCCTACATGATGGGCGGGCTGGGGAAGGTGGACGGCGAGGATGATACTGCCCTCACAGCCTTCGTCGTTGTGGCGTTGTTGGAGGCCCGCGTGCCCCGTGATGTGAGTAGTATCTCTCTTACACTTTGTCATTACTATACAGTGAGTGAGTGAGTATGGTTTTACGCCGCTTTTAGCAATATTCCAGCAATATCACGGCGGGGGACACCCCAAATGGGCTTCACACATTTTACCCATGTCGGGAATCGAACCCGGGTCTTCGGCGTGACGAGCGAACGCTTTAACCACTAGGCTACCCGACCGCCCCCATAACCATACAGACTAGGAAGAGAATTTATTGATGTCAACTTCTTTATTATAAGGAACACAACGCAATTTCAAAATCAATTGGTTGTAAAATGAAACAGTTTTTCTCTCTATTTATTAAGTTTTTCAAAAGAAGTACCAGATATGTTAATAATAGTGCATTAATCTGCATTATAGTGGAGCCATTTCGTGACAGATATAAGGTCAATTGTGCACTTTGTGATAAATCCAATATGGCCGCCATGGAGAATGAAATTCTAGTATATCGCATGTGAGTGTCATCGTCAGGTCAATGTAACTTGAGCCATATGCTGAACGTGATGTGCCTGTGCAGGACCCTGTGTTGATGGCCGCCCTCAGGTGCCTGTCGCTGCAGCCCCGGGACGAGATGGACACCTACACTCTGACCCTCACTGCCTACGCCCAGACTCTGAATGATCCCACCAGCCAGGCATCGGACGCAGTTATGACGGAACTCGACGCAAGGGTCATCTCTAACGGTAGGTCGAACCGTCACACAGAGCGATCTTAGCCCTAAGATGATGGTAACACCCATACTTTAACATAGGCTTACGGTAGTCGTCGCGCTGAGATCACTTTGTGGAATGGGGCCCAGTATTCCACTGTGGTACAGTAAACTACGGTTATAACGAACTCAAAGGGACTACTATTTTTAGTTCGTTATAACCGTAGTTCGTTATAAGCAAATATATAGCATAACTACAGCAAATAGTCGGGACTAAAAAGTTAGTTCGTTATATCCGTCAGTTCGTTATAAGCGTGTTCGTTATAACCGTAGTTTACTGTATTTACAATACACTCGGCAGTGATAGAGATGCTGTACAGCAAGGAAACGGACTCGTTAAAAGTAACATAATTTCCCTAAATATGAAACCCAGACTGGAATAGTGACTCTCCACGGCGTTGTTTAAGGCGACACACTTGGATCAGATGATTGGTGATTGGGTGCTCATTCTATCAATCACTGTTTCTCTGGGTCAAATTCCATTATTTACCTTAAACCTGTAGCTCTGATATTGCTGAATGCGGTTTAAACATGTCGACACTCACCTTTGAGAATATTTCAAACATTACGTTGGTAGTTTGCCTTATGGGATGATTCTGTTAATACAGTAATTACACATTTTGGTACAAACGTTTTCCCTCAGTTTCTATTCTCTGGAGGATACAATATATATCTGATACAGGAGAGCTGGGCTACTGGGGACGAGGTGGCTCCATGCCAGATGCTGTCAACACGTGGCACTACAGAACAGCACCGTCAGCAGAAATCGAGATGACGTCATATGGCCTGATGGCAACGTTGTTGTACTACCAGGACGGGGGCTTAGCTAAAGGGCAACCGATGATTATGTGGCTGTCGCAGCAGAGAAACTCCCTTGGAGGATTCGCATCTACACAGGTAGGCATTGCATCTACACGGGTAGGTTTCACATCTACACAGTTAGGTTTCACATCTACACAGGTAGGTTTCACATCTACACAGGTAGGCGTCACATCTACACAGGTAGGGTTCACATCTACACAGGTAGGTTTCACATCTACACAAGTATGCATTGCATCCACACAGGTTTCTCATCTGCACAGATAGGTTTCACATCTACACAGGTAGGTTTAACATCTACACAGGTAGGTTTAACATCTACACAGGTAGGCTTCACATCTACACAGGTATGCATTGCATCCACACAGGTAGGTTTAACATCTACACAGGTAGGTTTAACATCTACACAGGTAGGCTTCACATCTACACAGGTATGCAGTGCATCTACACAGGTAGGTTTAACATCTACACAGGTAGGTTTAACATCTACACAGGTATGCAGTGCATCTATACAGGTAGGTTTCACATCTACACAGGTAGGTTTCACATCTACACAGGTATGCATTGGATCTACACAGGTATGCATTGGATCTACACAGGTAGGTTTCACATCTTCACATGTAGGTTTCACATCTACACAGGTATGCATTGGATCTACACAGGTAGGTTTCACATCTACACAGGTAGGTTTCACATCTACACAGGTATGCATTGCATCTACACAGGTAGGTTTCACATCTACACAGGTAGGTAGGTTTCACATCTACACAGGTAGGCATTGCATCTACGCAGGTATGCATTGCATCTACACAGGTATGCATTGGATCTACGCAGGTATGCATTGGATCTACTCAGGTAGGTTTCACATCTGCAGACTGTGCAGTATAATGTGGGGGTTATCAGAGTGCCGCAATGCTAAACGGTAGCTAATGGACACTGTACCTCACGGAGTCTGATGGGAAGGTTAGGCCAGTGGTTGTTACGAGACGGCTTGTAAGGAAAGGCTTATAAATTTCATAAGAACTGAGATTTCCCATCGATACAATGATCAAAGACCCACTAGTCGGGCATGTTGACAAGATAACTGAATTCACAAAAAATCGTGTGCATGCCCTGTATGAACTACTTTTAACCATCGAAGTGAAAAGATATAACTAATACCTCCAGTTTCAAGGTAATCAGTTTTGACCTGGTTTGAGGAGTCTGTTTGAAACAGAGTCTGTGAACTCTGAACTATGGACATGGCTCCAGGAGTTATTTGTACAATTCGTCTTAGCTTCTTACAGGTTCAAAACAATTAAAACGAACTGGATACTATTTAATTACCTTCATATGAGCAATTTTTCGTTACAGGATACCGTCCTTGGCCTTCAGGCTATGGCCGAGTTCGCCAGCAAGACGTTCACTGGCAACGCCACTGACCTTAGCGTGACCTTCACCGGCAACAAGATGAGCCAGACATATGACATCACCACGGGGGTGAACACACTGCTGCTCCAGAGGGCTCCCATCATGCATCTGCCCAACACACTCTCAGTCTCAACTAACGGTACAGGGTGTGCCTTGATACAGGTCAGGCTCACTGTCGGAGGCTTTGTTCTGTAAACTCTATTAGTTATGCTTCCTCGGTTTTGTTTATTCTTGACGTTATCAGATTAAGACCAAACCACACTGTTACAGTCAGAGAAAGATGGTAGACCATACACGATCCTAAACTAATTATGTAGAGTTATAATGGAGCCCGGTTCAGCAACTTAATGTGATAAGTTTTAACCTCTGGTATTGTCTGGGAAAGAATGGTGAGGTGAAATTGGGTTTAACGTCGCGTCCAAGATTATTGCACTTAAATAGCGACGTGTATGCAGGAGTGTGTGGCTGCTTGTACTGGTCCGGACTGATGCACATTTTATAGTGCTCACCCACTGAGATGCCATGCCACAGCAAATCATGAATACCCCACTCAAACACAGTGTACTGACTCTGAACCGACAAGTCCTTGTGTTCGCCCCTTAATGGGTAACAACAAGTACCATCTTTTAACGTCTATTGGTATGACGCGGCCAGGGGATCGAACCCCGGACCTTCCGCTCTCCGGGCGGACGCTATTCCACTAGACCACGGAGGCGGTCCGTTTCGGAAAGAAAGGCAATTGGGCAGCACAAGTACACAGAAACATTAAAAAAACATCAACATGTAAATATAGTTAATTTGTCCTTTTGGTTTTGTTTCTAGGCTAATGTACAGTTTAACAAACTGCCCGAGAATCTGGGGATCAACAAACCTCTATTTAACCTCACTGTCGCCGTCAGAAGGTCAAGGACAAAGAGAAGTGATTGTGCCAGACGATCAATCAGGATATGTGTCAGGTATGGCCTATGTAGTGTATCACTAGCACTGGTACTCCTTGAGTTAGTCACATACTTTGATCATAGGATTCACAGTGCTGTACTAATGCTACATGATTTCATGCCTTTCATCCAGCCGTCAGCCGTTTGAGATGGACGTCTGAAGTCCGAATTCAAAATTGTGATGTGACCAAAGAGGCAGTGGGGATAAAAGAGACAAATTAGGAATGTAATGTTTATTAATGTGAACAAAGACAATGTAAATGGCAACATACGCTTTCAGACAACAATGGTACGCCAAGACAGCCAACTCGAGACTGAGGATGGTCCTATCAGAAACTGCATTTGGATTGTATCCATTATCAGTGCCTCATGGGCAACACAAACCATTTTGCATGTTTTGTATAACGACAGATGCTAAATATTAAATTGTTGCTTTACGTCGCGTTAAGCAATTAATATTCCAGCTTTCTGCGTCTGCCAAAAGTCGGGCCAGGCAACCAGTGGTTGATATTATGATCACGGTCGGTGGACGATAACACGTTCCAGTCGGGAACATGGCCACCCGATCCAATTTTGGCATGTCGCGGGTCCCCACGGGGTGTCAGTAGAGAACGTATCCTGAACTGTGCATCCACTGTGGTCTCATAATGGCTCAAGTTTTATCACCACACCTGCATAGAGTTAAAACAATCGGTAACTACATACAGAGCCTCATTTAACCAACTGTTACTGATGTTTTACATGAATACTTACGCGTTTGACTTGACTGTAAGATCAGAACATATTTGGCATCCATGTCATTGTTTGGGTATTTTCAGTTTTATGGGTAAGAAGGACTTCAGCGCCGGGATGAGCATGTTGACAGTGAAAATGGTGACGGCTTGGACCCCAGTCCTCAACTCTTTGAAAGAGGTTGGTCGATTATGTTGTTGTGAAAATACGAATACGAAAAAATTGTTTACGAATCCTGGTTATGAAACATGTTTTGTCAGCACTATACTCGTGCGCCTGGGTTGCCCAACCCCTAAAAGACTTACACGCCGTAAATGATGTGATGCGGTGACAAAACTAAACTGACTCATTTGTGTTACAGCTTTAAACATGTCCCACTTACACGACAAACCGGTAGTCGAATATGTTTCAGCCATCAAGTTTTGTATTTTGAATGTTTACTACACACAGTAAAATTGCTTACTGATTACGAGTTTAGAATGTAACTAATGTATGTATTCATTGCACATTTCAGCTTGAGAGTGTTTTCCCTATATTGAGTATGAAGAAATACGAAAATGACGTCAAAAAGGGTTTAATAGCATTTTATTTTGATGAGGTAAGCACAACTGATTCTTTATTGTCATACATGTTCAATATAAAATCCTATCTATTTGAAACAAAGAGACATAAATATATGGGGATTAAATGGATTTGGATACTGCAATACGTAAAGTATTTATATTGAACATGTGTGCAACAAGTTAATAACATACGTGAGCATGCCTTGCCCAGCACGACTTCAGTCAGCCTGATTGTCCTGTACACCTGCTCCTCGTGGGGATCCAGGGTCAGAATCGGTTCTCAGGCAACTACAACGCGGATTGGGTGGCTAGAATATGAGACCTGGTTGATTGTGTGTCGTGTCAGGACCACGTGGTTTGAGCTACCAGCCTCCTGTTTGTCGCAAAGATATGCTACCCGACATCCTATTACTGGATTGTGTCTGAACAACATTTACCCCCTCACACACCCAAGCTTACAAAGGCAAGGATGTTAACTGACTATTAAAGTGGAAACTGGACTTTTATAGTCAGTTAACGCCCTTGCCTCGGGAAGATGAATCACCCCTACAAATGCCTTTTTTCGATTTCAGCTTGACGTTAGAAAACGTTGTTTCGAGTTCGAACTTGAACAAGACCGTGACGTGGCTGTGTCGGACCCCAAGCCAGCAGAAATACAAGCCTACCAGTATTACGAAAAAGGTGATGCATCAAAGATCGTTTTCTTGATTACTAGTTATTCGGGCGACCTCATGCTTGTCGTAAGAACTGACGAAAATGGGGATCGGGTGGTCATGCTCGTTGGTTGATTGTTCACCGTTCCGTGATGGAACGTTTGTTTTTGTATGGCCCAGACTCGATTATTTATAGGCCACTGAATAAACAATATTGCTGATTGCGGCGTTGAGCAGCATTTATTCGCTCATTGACTTAACCTGTGGATCAGTAGGTTACCTCGCCGTCATATGGCTGAAATTATGCCAAAGCGGCGTGAAACCCAACTCCCACACTTCTGAAGGCAGTCATCGGGTGGGCCTCCAAGCGCTGCTTAATCTTAAGATGAGGCTTGCGTTTTCGCGATATTTAAGGGCAAGTAAATCTTAAATGGTAGTTAACATCAGTGACGTGTGCAGAATGAGACTTTCATTGTGACATTTAAAGGTCACGTGGTACTTTAGGTCGTCCGGCTTTTAAGTATCACTCGATGGTTTTCTTTTTCAACTGGTCTGCTGAATGGTTATTGTCAAAGTTGTTTTTTTCCAGATGTTACGATAGTTAAATCCTACGAGATTAACACAACATGTGGAACTAAAGCTGAAATCCCCGATGAAACAACGGCGCCTCCTCTGTTGCCAGGGTCACCGATAGAGATTCAGAACAGAATAGGAAGTAAGATACAACAGCTAGTATAAAGTTTATTTTGTTGGACCGGAAACCAGTCTTTGGGGTGATAAAGCTGTGAACAGTTGAACTATTAACGAAAGACATTATCCCGTAACAATAACTGATGATCCGGAAATTTGATTTGTTAATCGGGACAGTTTTACCGGGAACATCATCAGTCCAGAGTAAAGGGGTTTCACTGTACTCGGTGTACAATGTTAATTGTAGCAGATGGTGTATTTTTTGGTTTGTTGTATCTGAACAGTGTAAATTTATATATTTTCCTTCTCAGTTAGTGAATTCTCTTGTGGAAACATTTTTTTGCCAAAATATTTATATGTGTTAAATCTTATGTGTCAATCGAGATTGTCTGATTTACTAAAAAAAGCACATTGTATTTCAGGCGTGAACGACATGCCACCTCTTCCATCGCAGAAGGTTCGTTCTTTCCAGTCAAAGAATTAGCGTTTCAAATTGAAACAAAAACTACCAATATATTATTCTTTGAAGACGCGTCTTTCCATATAGTGAAGTTAATCTAGGGCGCATTGCAAGCCACGAATCGCTTTGAGTAAGCAAATTAATCGCTCATCCCGGGGTCTGCAACAGTTCGAAACGCTTTGTCACTCTTCCAAAATGGCGGCGCAACTACCACTTGGTTGCCTTGCCGTAATGAAGAACGTAATAGAAGAGGCTTGATGACGAACTGATGAAATTTATGACCACTTTGAAGTTGTGGCAGCTGCCTTTGCCCATTTCCCAGTTGATCGAGTCAAGAATTTCTTGTTCCACTTTTTTTTTGGTGTGAGAACGAAGCGACCTGTCAGCGATTGGCATGATTGCAAGCGGCTGAAAGTTAGCGTCCCGTTGTGAGGCGAATCGCTGTACATTGCTTGCAAGCGATTGGCGCTTTGCAACGCACCCCCAATTAAGGAAATGTTTTACTTTGTCGATACTTTTTTAACTCTAAACAAATTTTTGCATATGATCCACATAAGGGTTGAATAACCCCAATATTTGCCTCTGTGACTCTCAGTGCTATCAACCCAAGCTTGCCGTAAAAGGCGACTATGCTTGTCGTAGGAGGCGACTAAAGGAATCAGGTGGTCAGGCTAGCTGACTTGGTTGATGCATGTCATCGTATCCAATTGCGTGGATCGATGCTCATTATGTCAGTATCTGGATTGTCTGGTCCAGACTCGATTATTTACAAACCACTGTCTTATAGCTGGAATATTGCTGAGTGCGGCGTTGAACAACAAACAAACAAAGGTTTATCTTGTCTCCATTTTATTTTAGATGCAGGAGACGACGGGCTGCCCTGCTTGTATTAACGAGAAACCAGAAGATTTTGATCAATTAATTTGTCAGTCAAGAGCAAGTAAGTGTGCAGTAAAACTATTCCTTCCCATGAGCTTTACGAAACATCAAAGAAAATACCTTCAACCTTTCGTTACATTTTCAAATAAAATATATCATACATGCCAAATTTAACAGCATCTAAACCCATATTATTCTTTGGCCCTCGTCTAATATGGTCAATTATATTGATTGGTCTATAACATCTTAATAGTGCCTCTACAGTAAACGTTCCCTCCAGTGAATTGGTATTGTAAAAGAAGAATATTCAACTTCACCTTGATGAACCACTTGCACGGTGGGACACCCTGTTGTTCCGTGAGGCATTTTCTTGACTATGTCGGCAAGTGTTCCTTCGTGAGAGATTGGGGCTGAGAACAAAGGCCCCAAGCAACCTGTCCTTGCCGAAAGAGTCGACTGAATTGATCGGATGGTCCGGCTCCGTGACCTCGATTCATGTCATCATATCCCAGATGCGTGGATCGATGCTCACGATGTCAATCACTGGATTGTCTGACCAATATGATTATTAACGGGCCATAGCCATATAGACAGAATATTTCTGTGCAGCTTTAAACAACAAACAAATCTTCGTGTGACTTATTGTATAGAGTTTTGCAATGACTTTTTTCTTCCTCTCCAGTTTATAAAGTTCAAGCAGGTCGAAATGGTAGAGCTTCCATGAAAATCAAAGCTGATCTCAGAACTAGACGAAAGAAAAAAATAGACAAATTTGCAAGTTTCACTTTGGGGTCAGAGTGCCAGTGTGACCTTCTCAACCCTCCGAGTAAGTAGACACATCTTCATGTCATCATGTGCCAAGATTCGTTGCTTGTGGGTTTGCCATTAGTATGATTGGTTTGTCTTTGCTTGAAAATATTTACAAATTGCGATATTTGAGAATTTCCTTCACATCGTAAATTAGCGAAAGTAAATCCTGTGTGTCTTTGGGGGGGGGGGGGGGGGGTAGGCCTGGCGGCTGTGTAGCTTAGTGGTGGAACACTGGGTACAAAACCCACAATGTCGCACCTGTTCTGTTTATTATTATTGCTGGAATACTGATAAAATTGGGGTACAACTACACTAATCTATTTTTAAGCGTATATTTGTTTTTAACTAATGTTTCAAATCTGGTATGTGCAGATGAAAAGAAAAGAGGTAAGTTTGTTTTGTTATATCTGGTTTTGCTTCATATGAGATGTTGCTTTACTGTCCAGTATGTCCGTCAGTCCGTCAGTCGGGTGCACTCTACACTTGTCTCTGGATGTTTTCTAATGATGTCTGTGAAAATAGGTTTTCTACAGAATTACAACAAACCATTCAATTTCTTTATTCTTTCAGACATAATGCTTGCTAACTGTAGTTTTGTTAAAGCTTTTCTTAGCATCATATCCACACAATAAGGAGGGAAAGACCTCATCTGTTTGTTTTCAAACCTTTGTTGATAATATCATGATTAAAGTAAATAAAGTACCATAAAATTGCTATACTGTGTAAACATGAAACAAAATAGATTCACAAACTTTCGTGTTGGCATACATTAATACCAATACAACTACAATGCGATTTTGTAGGGGGCTCATAATCCTATATCATAACACTCATAAACAGAAGTTACTTACAAATACTTGTCAAAAGTAATGTTCTTCTTGCTTGAAATCTCTATCTCCAGTTTCTTGAATATAGTCATATTTTGTAAGTACAATATGCGTACGTCTATACTAACATGCCACAGAGAACTAGAACTGTGCCATCATATATCTCACCAAACTGGAACTAGCGGCCTATCCCATTAAGCCAATAATGAACTCGTACTTAACTTGGTGTATGCATGTAATCTTGATTAAATCTATATAAAATATGAACTGAATTTCACCAAACAATATATATTCACGTTCACTGCACGCTACTGGGTTCTATGGTCAATCTTGATGTTTGCACCAACAAAGTGTTTTTTTGTCATCATTCTACTAGACAACTAAAAACCTACACTGAGTGATGTCATCTTTCATACAAACACTTGCCACAAAACACATGGCATATCAGTCTTTCTGCAAAGCCTGTTATAACTGTCGACTTATTTTCTCCAGTGCGCCGTCTGTTGATTCTGTCCAACCGGGAGCAGTCATTGGTGCAGAGTGTCGATCCAGGGAGTGTTGGTCACGTGATTCACCTGGGCTCCAGTACCATTATTATTAACCTGGACCGGAACCGGAAACTGGAGAAAGAGACCCGGAAGAAGGCCCGAAGTTGCAATCGCAGATCGTAGAAACTAAATCATCCCTGCTTTATACATAACATTGTTGGTTGAATGTCCGGGATGTCCGCTTTGTAAGTCAGCTGCTATCTATTGAAGATTATCACCAGTGTGCATTGATGCTGTGCATCTTCTTTGGGTAGTGAAGGGATGGTTTAAGAACTAAGTCACCATCATCTTTAACCCAATCCTGAATCTGGACAATGTCTAACAGCAAACAGACATTTATAGCATTTGAACAGGTAAATCGCAAAAGTTAAGAATTCAGACGTTCTGTCTTAATAAACAAAAACAGATCATGTTCTTATTTTCCTATATTGTAAGACTGGAATGTATTGTGTGCAGTTTCTTGTGTGATATCTTAGGTGATCATTGAAATCAGAAAACTTCATCATTCACAAAGTGATCTTTAGTTCCATGGATCTTCAAAGCAAGAAAACATTATATCGTTTAACTTACATCAATTTAGTAATTTTGATATCTGTCTGATCTGCTTCAGCAAATAGATAACAGCTTTTCCTTTGCCAGCATAAAAGATCTTATGAAAATGTAATCCTGCCATATTTGAATTTTAGGGCATTGTTGAAATACTTATTATCATCAAATATTATTAATATTCACATAAATTGTAGATTTGGTGATGAGAAGTCATTGTTGATATGACAGAAATTACAGTTTGTGTTTTAATTTGAATTTACATTCATACTCTTATTCCAAAATACCATTCCATTTCATCTACCACCTCCTTGTACATAGACTGTTTGATCTTTTTGACTCTAGTTTAGTGGCCAGTAGTTGAATTGTTATCGTTGTTTGGTATTACATGTATCTTATATTCATAGTAAAAATATAGTTATGTGATTATGACGTATGTATATAATATATTATTAGTACACAACATATAATGGTGCAGTCCTTGCATTGTTCACCTTGCATACATCGAGTTATTTGTACTTTTCTATTATTTCGTTGCACTATGTTGGTCGAGCTTAAATTTGAATTTGAAAAGTTTTGACAGTTTGGAGAGATGTAACCATGGTAACCTAATGTCAACACTATGTGTACCTGTCATTCAAATTAATGAAAATAGGACTCATATTGACTTTATGAAAAAGAGCTACATTTATCAAAGCTGATCACTGGTTGAATGACTAGAATCTCTGAGTGAATGAGTTAACTTGGTGAACCAGAGCATCATCTGAAAAAATATCAATAACTATATTTAAAGGATGATTTGTTTCTCTTCGAAACACGGAAGATACTGTGCTGACTGAGAGATGTTTCTTCTCGTACCTGGCAATGTGGTGGACAGCAGTGATCAGGTTTGATACAAAGATAATACCAAACACACCTGGTTGTTTTACATGTATTACCTTCAGTGTCTCCATACATGAAATAAACAAATATTATTCCACTCTTGTGTTGTTGGTCTTGTTGGTGCCTTGATTCAAGATAATTCCTACAGTCAAACACTGTGATAAGTTCGAGGAATTCTGTTATGACAAGATATTCACAAATTTATGTTTCGTCAACAATTCAATATGTCCATGGTTGGCTGTCATCGTCATGTATTCTGATCTGCAAAAATGAGTTCCAAGGCAGCCTGGATGTCTCCGCCTGTGGCATCCAGGGCTCTGCGGGCCAGGTTGTCGTCAGTGATGCCCATGTCCCGCAGTTGCTGCATCTGGGCCTGGCAACAAAACAACATACATACCGCATTAGTCCGTGTTCATACACTTGTCTGTGAGACAGAAACTTATGACTTGCAAGAAGTCGGAAAATACTATTGAACCTTTACCTCATGATGAGCAGCTTTGTTGATTGAGTACCATTTAGATAAATACCAACAGCTGATCAAGGCTAACCTTACACTTAAACACAAACTAAGGGATGCAACTCTGCACTTTGCAGTCCAGTTTGCTTTTGTGTGATGTTTAATGTATTCCAGATATATCACGGCGGTCTGTAAATAATCAACTCTGGACCAGACAATCCAGTGAGTGACATCATGAGCATCGATCCATGCAATTGGGATACAATGACATGCATCAACCAAGTCAGCAAGCCTGACCACCCAATCCTGTGAGTCTCCTTCTACGACAATCATAGTCGCCTTTTACGACAAGCATGGGTTGCTGAAGACCTATTCTACCCAGGATCTTCATGGTTCTATTCATCAAATGAGTAAACCATACTGTCTTGGTAAGATGACCCAATCAACCAAGTCACTGAGCCTGACCAGTGGATTCATAAAAGCATCTCTAACGAGAATTCGAACCCCGAATTTGCATTTAAAACATATAAATATTAAAGGCTGAGTACTTCACCTGACTGGTGAAGACATTTTACCCCACACCATACAAACATCTATGGTGAGTTAAACAAAAATGGTGTAAAAAGAATCTGGGAAAAAGAAAAGAACAAGTATCTTCACAGCATCGTTTATGACAATGATATTGAGTGCTAACTGTGATGCCTTGAGCAATCTTTGATCTATTCTCGGTCATTTCAGTCACACAAAAGTTTAAACCCTGTGCACATTCTAAACTTTTTGTAAAATTTGATGTCTTTTTAGATGTTAAAATCAAAAGAATTCCAATAAATTCACAATGACTTGAACAAGATAAAATTTCTTCATAAGAAGTAACCTGCATGCCAAGTTTCAGCTTCATTAGGGTAACTGACACACTAGTCAAATTGTCCAAAATGCTGACCCATCTGTCGTCTCTTTGGGCCTTCTTGAACACATGTTGAACCTTTTCTCCAAAACCAACATGTGTAAGATGGTGAAACTTTGCATGGACCATCCTACTAACCTCCTAATATTGCTTGAAACATTTCATTTTAAGTCAAATTTGGTTTCCATGGCAACCACACGTGAAACCTACTTTTTGCCATTGATCCCCAAATGTATGCAGACGATCAGATGCAGCTTGGTGGCAGCCTAGTGTGCGTTGGGGTCACAGAGATGGCTTTCCAATTTGCACCTGCATTAATTTTTATTGACCATGTTCATCATGTACACTTTGGTTGCGCCAACTATTATGGTTGAATCAAGGTCATAATTAACATTATCATTAAAAATGGAACAGATGTGATAGGCCCCACTAGTAGTGAGTGAGTGAGTTGGGTTTAATGCAACTTTTAACAGTATTCCAGTTATATCACGGCGTGTCAGCTTAATGTTGGAGTAAGGCCTGAAGTGATTGATGCAGGTCTGAGATGTTTACCACTTCAGTGAAACCCACGAGCACGGGTATGGTGCTGACAAACCTAGAAACATAATCGGGCTGAACCGGGATTCGAACCCACAATCATAGGTTTCTGGCGTGCCCAAGGGACACAACTCTGCACAGCGAATTGCGGCGCCTTGGACTACTGGGCCACCCGTGCCCCACCCCACTACTAACTACACCAATACCACATTTCAATACATTTTGAAAAAAAGATGACCAATTATTAGCCAAAATTGGATTGGTATTCTGAGGGCACTTTTTAGAGACACAATAGCTGAGATCATTTATGCAACGTTTCAGCTTCACAGGCCGTGTAGTTTCAGAGGCGATATCTAACATTGAACAAGAGTCATCCGAAGATGACATATCCCCCCGGTGTGGTATGTCGGTAAAGTGTGTGTACCTTCAAATGTATTTAGATTGGCAAGGAAATCTTTTTCCTTGATGCCAAAACCAGAAATATAATGAAGGTTATTAAATATTGGTTCATGTAGCTCACTTTCTGATGATCTTATTGTAATAACAATAACTTCGCAGATTCGCATATGAATAGCTCTGTAGTAGCCTCATGACACAAAGGCATAAAGAGAATGTACTAGATTATGTAGCTCACATCATATATAGTATATGATATCAGTAAATAGTACACCTTAGAATAATATGTCAGGGGCTACAAATTAAAAAGATTAAAATCTATAAATAACAAACTGCACTACTAGTGAACATGATTGACATGTGCATAAAGTTTGATGAATCTCTGTCGCATGGTTCAGAAGATATGCTCCAGACGAGGACATTACCCTAAGTTCATCAAATTTCAATTTAAATTGAAAAAAGAAAAAAAAAGAAAAAATCTGTTAATAGCAAAGGCACCACTACATAACCTGCTTGATAGGTGTCAAAACTTTTGAGAAGCTAGGTTCTACGGTTTAGGAAATATGCTCCAGACAAGAGCACTACCCTCAAATTTCCTAAGTTCATTATATTTCCATGGAAACGACAAAAATAAAAAATTCTAAAAATCTCTAAATAGCAAAAGGCACTACTACTGAGCCTGATTGGTAAGTGTACAAAGTTTTGTGCAGCTAGGTTGTACGGTTTAGGAAATATGCTCCGGACAAACAATGATTACAGACGGACAGACGGACAGACAGACAGACGGTAGGACGGACGGACGGACTGACATACTGATGGCTATATCCCCCCGTCATTATATGTCGGGGGGATAAAAATGGCATTGTCATGGAACTGAGAGAAATTTGTACAGACAACATAGCTGGGATCATTCAAACAAAGTTTCAGCTCCATAGTAAAAACGGGGTACCTGAAGGTCAAAGGGGAGGGGAGAGAGAGAGAGGAGTCCAGACCCCCGGTCCCCCCCCAACCTCTGGATTTACCTATGACCATAGCAGCATCACTCACCTCTGTGGCAGCATTTTGAGCCTGCAGCATCGCCTGCTGGAAGAAGTCGGAAGAGATGATGGGAGGTCCACCGCTTGGATTAGCACTGGATGTAGACGCGCCACCAGACTGGTAAAATGAAACACATACTTGGTACATTACATAGATAAGGATCTGCATCATAAATTGCAAGAATCATGTGTTATATGGCAGTGTCATTTACTGTTAACAATGATTGTCACTGTATTACATTGTTAATGTTCAGATTCAGTAGAAGTTCATTGCATTGTATTTGGACAATGATTCATTGTCAGGAAAGAAGCACTATATAATGTTAGCAGTGGTGAGGAAGTAGTTATATTCAGATGCTCAAATTATCTGTAAATTTCTGGAATAGTTTGGATGGATGTCAAGCATTATGGGAACGTGAACTATTCCGTGATGTTCTGGTGACACTGAACTGGTCAAGCAGTGTGTGAAAAGTGATGGAAAGCTGGTTAGACCATATAAGTGGAGAAGGCGCGTCCCTGTCTTTTCTCACATTTCATCTCATATTTCATGTGACATTACATCAAGACCAGCTTTCGTGTGAAGATCACTTATCACCCTGGATTCGAAGCCTTGGCCTACCTTGGAAGTTTGACCATTGTTGCGGATAGGTGAATATTATTACCAGTGATCTTTTTGATATCACTACTGCCATCATATTTTGTATCTCATTCTGCCATTGAATGTTTTGTAAACCTAGTTAATTATGTAATACATTTGTTGACTGCATACCATTTGTTGGATGGTTTTATTCTACGGTTTTTCATACAGATTTCTTGGTTAACATATTGTTTCAATTTGGGAATCGACTTGTAACACTGGAAAATCAGTAATAGATTTTTATGCATCATTATGCAGCCAGTAATCATTGATGCACAGTATATGATGGCTGATGAAAAAAGTGTGAAAACGTTAACTTAGTGCTTCTGCACCTAATTAAAAGTATGTATTTTGAGGTCTGTAGTTGAAACCCAAAATAATCTTAAAAGGGGGCGTTGCTTAAATAGAACGACAAGCTAGGCCTGCAAGCTGATTGGACATTACCACCAGCCAGGTACAGAATATACATGATTGTTTATTAGTTGTGGGGAAACCTGTGTTTGTATATATAATACCGGTACGGATTCCATGCGTGTCAACAGTATGGCTAGTGGGTCCGTGTCAAGTAACATTGATGTAAGGTGAACTATATAGCTTCAACATTGGAAGATATTTTCCTTTTAAATATTAGGGCCACATGTTCAACCCCTACCCCTCCTCAACTCAATCCATGCCGTTATAAAGATAGACATTAAGACAGTCTGTATAACCAATTACTGCTAATAAACCAGAACGATATTTGTCTCCCCTACAGTCACTCATCTCTCACCAACATGTAACTGCAGTAGATTATAGCATAATGTATGCCAGCAGTCAGTCCAGGTATCATAAAACACTCAGCTATGTGATAAGTGACACGGACTCACAGTCTATGACATGTTGCTTCATCTTTGTAGAGCAATATCAAGACTGCAACAGTATATTGTGATTTTGAGAAAAATATACTATACAAATGATTGAAACGAACCAATCTGTGTTTTGCAATCACTATATAATCTATCTGTCCAAGAGGGAGATAATCCTGATTATTTTCGTCACTATTGTCCTCCAGGCAGGGGTTCACTTGTACTGTTTCCACTATCACCAAATCATCTTCTGAGAAACATGCACATTCCATAACTCAACAACTTTTGTCACTGTCAGAGTCGGACATATCGGCAGATTGTGATCAGGATACCACAAAGTATGTACTAAGTAAGTACTAGCAATTTTTTATATACAGGAAAGTCTCCCCAAAAAAATATGAAATGACACGTAAACAAGGAACACAATTGAAGAAATAGTATCTTTAGCACACTGTTTTCTCACTGAATAGAGAACTCAATGTGTGATGTAAATGGCCTTTGTCACATTTCAGTTTTAGAAAGAGAGAGGATTATATATTAATCCTTGAATCCCACTCATACAAAGGAAAGTACAGTGTACAAATGTTCATTGCTTATTGTGGAAAGGAGAATGTCTAGGGCTTAAAAAGGGTTGGGAATAGGTTAGCTTTGCCAAGAAGGTGTGCAGCCAACCATGACCGTGAACAGAGGATTGCCTGCTTGAGTGTGAACGGAGGGGCAGGCTTGTACGATCAAGCATGTAATTTTGGAGGTAGCTTGCGTGATCACTAGAATACATGAGACCTTCTTAATCAGTTGGATGAAGTGGAAAATGCTGTTGGTTCTTGTAAAATTGTTGCTGTGCCTGTGCTGTTATTGACATCAACAGCGTAATTAAACAGAACAGTACCATTCTCAGTAAACAAAAAAAGATAGCAATAAATAAATTTGAATAATTTCGTTCCTTGTACATTGTAAAGAGAAAGTTATTAAATCCTAAGATACAATCTGTCAACGAGAGTTCCAGCTGGGCTTACCCTTGGACTCGAGCCTTGTGCGGCTTGAAGTGCAGCTGCCAGCTGTGATGCTGTGATGCCCTGACCTCCACCCACCGTGCCAGACTGACAACAGATCAACAAGCTCACACTCAGTACAGAAGCACACTGCCCATCAAACGCTTATCCCTTTTAGCAGAAAATGTTTCTTAGTCTTATCAACCATCTTTAGAGTCAACTAACCGAAGATACCACTTCGTTTCAGTAAAAGCAGTCAATTCATGTCACATAAAATACAGAGGATTCGTTTGAATGTTATATGTTAATTGGGGTGTAATGTCTCTTTAAACAGCATTGCAGTTTGACCAGGGCACGATCTTGTAAACATGTTTCGGTTCGATTTCCATGTTAGACATTCAAACAGGAGGACACGCTTCTGTATAACAACTTCTTATTGTGATTTATGACCCGTTGCCGTGTTTATTCTAGAGAGTAGCATTGTCGCTTCTATTTAAATAATGACAATAATTATAAAGTGGGGCAGCAGGGCTCCACTAGCTGCTATGTTCACATGTTCCCCCTATTTCAGGCTTCCCTTAAGGGAGGGACACCGAGTTACCCTGGAATATTGACAAAAACAATAAAGATGTTATCCATTGATGTGGGAGGAAAGCCCACTGAGATGCAGGTCTCAGACAAGCATGGGTACTGACAGACCTATGGTCAGCATAGGCAGATCCAGAGGGGTGGTCCAGGGGTTCCGGATGCCACCTTTTGAAAAATGCTGTATCTGCCCTTGGTCAGTGTGAATGCCAATTTAACCAACAACTTGCCTACACCAAGGGATGTAACTCTTCACACCAAGTTGCAGTGCTCTCGGCAGGCAAATTGGGAAAAATTATTATTTTGTTCAAAATTGGGACATTTCTTTTAAGATCTTATTTTCTTTATTTTAGGGTATTTCAACATTGTGTTATAACATTGCATTCAAATATTTACATGACATGGGATTATTATTATTCTAATTTGGGAATTTTAACCGACATGTACTGGCGACTTCATGAATATTCCCTGCATATCTGTAATTCTGCCACCCATGCCCTCTCATGTGATAAACAAGGCAAACCCCTTTTGGGAAGGAAGGACAAACAACAGGACATCGATCATCCCTCATTATCCAGTGCATTAGGTCTTCATTCTATGAGGACAAATACCTTGGACTCATCACCATAGCTTGTAGTGAGACCTATTTGAATGACAGTCTGAACACTCTTCTGATATAAGTAAATATACTGATAGCTTGCACTTACAAGATGATGATTTTCACGAAGTGGATTAACGCCAAGCTTTGAGCTGCCAAGAGCTGCTTTGATTGCTCGTTGATTTCTTGCTTAGAGCGAGAGACATCCTGTGCTAAGATGGTGATAAGAGAGATTGAGATAGTGACGTCACTTCCGTGACGAAGCTATGGTGGCGAATGTAGACATAATACCGGTACACAGGCCAACTGAAGATAGAGATGTAACTTGATGACCTTTTGGGCCATTGGGTACTCACCGGTGGGCCCGCATCCTCCTCTTCATCTGACATCTGGTCCAGAGAGTATGTCCCTACAAGATGACATGTAACCATAGTAACAGTGCCAAAAATCATCAATCGACAACAGACCCCGAACCATTCCCACTAAGCAGCTGTCAAATCAATACTTGATGTGAATCGGGGGGGAAAAAGGGAGTTTTTCTGAATGTTTTTAGAGATGTTGAATATGCAGTAAAACAGGGGTACCCAAAACAATGAATCAAAATATGAAAAAACCTGTATTTTATGTTACCCTGCACAACACACACTTACTGCAAATCAAATTTTACAATGATATGGCCGACTCATAACAAAACAATTCAAATGGGATTGGAATTCTTTTTTCAGAGACACCACAGCTGGGATTATTAAAAACAAAGCTTCAGCTCCATGGGCCTTATAGTTTCAAAGACATTGAGCTAAATATCACATGATCTGCTGTTTGTTTTCTTTCGATACACAAGACCAATGAATGTTATGCTTAGTGTCATCCAATCACAGCTTCAAGATATCAGTCACTGCCTCCTCACTGTGGGAGACAGGAACCCAGGCAACTCCAGATCTTGATTTCAGTGTATACATATGCTGTTCAAATTACATTGTTTATGATACATGCATTGATCTGGCAAGTGGAATGTCCTGTACACCACACGATGACAACTGTTGATTTGTAAATATACCAAGATCACATGAATATAATGGGACGGATGATGCATGTAAATCTTAAATTGACTGACTAATTGGGGAAAAAAGCAGCTGTAGCCTGCTTGTACATGCTGGGGACAGTATGCTAACCTGTAGAGACTCGGGCAGCGTCCTTGGAGCCCTCCTCATTGACAGCTGCTGCTATTGTGATGGCGGCATTGCCGAATGATGGATGTTTCTCCAGCAACCTACAAATGATATGGGTCATGAGGCAACATACCACAGCCCTGGTTGGAGACTGGTGGGCGGGGTATAAAGGTAAAATACTACATCCCTGGTTGGAGACTGGTGGGCGGGGTAAAAAGGTAAAATACTACAGCTCTGGTTGGAGACTGGTGGGCGGGGTATAAAGGCAACATACCACAGCCCTGGTTGGAGACTGGTGGGTGGGGTATAAAGGCAACATACTACAGCCCTGGTTGGAGACTGGTGGGTGGGGTATAAAGGCAACATACCACGGCCCTGGTTGGAGACTGGTGGGTGGGGTAAAAAGGTAAAATACTACAGCTCTGGTTGGAGACTGGTGGGCGGGGTATAAAGGCAACATACCACAGCCCTGGTTGGAGACTGGTGGGTGGGGTATAAAGGCAACATACCACAGCCCTGATTGGAGACTGGTGGGCGGGGTATAAAGGCAACATACCACAGCCCTGGTTGGAGACTGGTGGTAGGGGTAAAAAGGCAACATACCACAGCCCTGATTGGAGACTGGTGGGTTGGGTGAAAAGGCAACATATCACAGCCCTGGTTGAAGACTGGTGGTAGGGGTAAAAAGGCAACATACCACAGCCCTGGTTGGAGACTGGTGGGTGGGGTATAAAGGCAACATACCACAGCCCTGATTGGAGACTGGTGGGCGGGGTATAAAGGCAACATACCACAGCCCTGGTTGGAGACTGGTGGGTGGGGTATAAAGGCAACATACCACAGCCCTGATTGGAGACTGGTGGGTGGGGTAAAAAGGCAACATACTACAGCCCTGGTTGGAGACTGGTGGTAGGGGTAAAAAGGCAACATACCACACTGACGGGTGGGGTGAAAAGGCAACATATCACAGCCTTGGTTGGAGACTGGTGATAGGGGTAAAAAGGCAACATACCACACTGGTGGGTGGGGTGAAAAGGCAACATATCACAGCCTTGGTTGGAGACTGGTGGTAGGGGTAAAAAGGCAACATACCACAGCCCTGGTTGAAGACTGGTGGTAGGGGTAAAAGGCAACATATCACAGCCCTGGTTGGAGACTGGTGGGCGGGGTATAAAGGCAACATACCACAGCCCTGGTTGGAGACTGGTGGGTGGGGTATAAAGGCAACATACCACAGCCCTGATTGGAGACTGGTGGGTGGGGTAAAAAGGCAACATACTACAGCCCTGGTTGGAGACTGGTGGTAGGGGTAAAAAGGCAACATACCACACTGGTGGGTGGGGTGAAAAGGCAACATATCACAGCCTTGGTTGGAGACTGGTGGTAGGGGTAAAAAGGCAACATACCACACTGGTGGGTGGGGTGAAAAGGCAACATATCACAGCCTTGGTTGGAGACTGGTGGTAGGGGTAAAAAGGCAACATACCACAGCCCTGGTTGGAGACTGGTGGGTGGGGTATAAAGGCAACATACTACAGCCCTGATTGGAGACTGGTGGGTGGGGTATAAAGGCAACATACCACAGCCCTGGTTGGAGACTGGTGGTAGGGGTAAAAAGGCAACATACCACAGCCCTGATTGGAGACTGGTGGGTTGGGTATAAAGGCAACATACCACAGCCCTGGTTGGAGACTGGTGGGCGGGGTATAAAGGCAACATACCACAGCCCTGGTTGGAGACTGGTGGGTGGGGTATAAAGGCAACATACCACAGCCCTGATTGGAGACTGGTGGGTGGGGTAAAAAGGCAACATACTACAGCCTTGGTTGGAGACTGGTGGTAGGGGTAAAAAGGCAACATACCACACTGGTGGGTGGGGTGAAAAGGCAACATATCACAGCCTTGGTTGGAGACTGGTGGTAGGGGTAAAAAGGCAACATACCACACTGGTGGGTGGGGTGAAAAGGCAACATATCACAGCCTTGGTTGGAGACTGGTGGTAGGGGTAAAAAGGCAACATACCACACTGACGGGTGGGGTGAAAAGGCAACATACCACAGCCCTGGTTGGAGACTGGTGGGTGGGGTATAAAGGCAACATACCACAGCCCTGGTTGGAGACTGGTGGGTGGGGTATAAAGGCAACATACCACAGCCCTGGTTGGAGACTGGTGGGCGGGGTATAAAGGCAACATACCACAGCCCTGGTTGGAGACTGGTGGGTGGGGTATCAAGGCAACATACTACAGCCCTGATTGGAGACTGGTGGGTGGGGTATAAAGGCAACATACCACAGCCCTGGTTGGAGACTGGTGGTAGGGGTAAAAAGGCAACATACCACAGCCCTGATTGGAGACTGGTGGGTTGGGTGAAAAGGCAACATATCACAGCCCTGGTTGAAGACTGGTGGTAGGGGTAAAAAGGCAACATACCACAGCCCTGGTTGAAGACTGGAGTAGGGGACAAGTGCAGAAGGGAAACCAAATAGCGCTTACTTTCCCTTGCCCTCAATTAAATACTTGTTTCCAATTTCATTATTTGGTGCATTTTGAATAAATACAAAACCTTCATCTAACTGAGTAATTTTACAATACACACCATGGTGGTGTTATGTTTTACTGTGTAAAAAGCGATCACACTGCTTACCCCTATGACTGAAGGTTCAGGTATCACAAATTTTACACCTGGGTTTGATTCCCCTCATGGGTACAATGTGTGAAACCCTTTTCCAGAGATATTGCCAGAATCGGGCTAAAGGCAGCATAAAACCATACTAATTCACTCACTTTTTCTATGGGCAGGTTATATAATTTCTAAATCAGCAGTAATGGTAACAAATGAATTAGAGTGAGTGAGTGAGTGAGTGAGTGAGTGAGTGAGACAGCTACCATACACAGAAACCAACGAGCATGGGTGTGATGCTGACTAACATGAAAACATAAATCACTGGGATTCGAACCAACGATTATAGGTTTCTGGCCTGAGAAACAAAGTCAATTTGTTCAGCAAACTGAGGTGCCTTAGACAATTGGACCACCCATGACTCAGGGAAGCACTATAGTATAACCTTTGAGACTCATATTGAAGTGATTTAGCAGTGAAATGGGTACTTACTTTGAAATGTTCTGTGGATGCGCTAGGATAGTGAGGAGATCTGGATCTTGCAGCATTGCTGAAGAACAGGATGAGCTAAATAAAGCAAAGTATCAAGGCACAGGAGACACCTATATTCACTAATGTGAGGATGTGCAAATACGTTTTTAGAAAAATAGAGAATCTCTTTTGATATCAAATATCAACATGAGCGAATAAAAGTTTAAAATTCCTTGGAAAGCCTTGAACTTTAACTGATATATTGGACATCAAAAGACACAAGGGTGAGATTCTATTTATAATCTAAAATCATTCTCCCTACCTTTTCAGGTTGTTAATATAATATATTGTGATACGGTACATATCGCAATACGGCCTTGTGCATCACAAAATATTGTGATACACTTTAAACTTCCAATACCCATCCCTAATGTTAACCAAGCATTGTGATGCAATTTCATTGTAGCAATATCTCCTCTGATATTTTGACAAGCATCAGTTTTTAACTTTTATTGACTTGTGTTGATACTAGATTTTATATCAAAATTTAATGGGGTTATAAGCAGAATATCTGTCCTCATAAATAGAGGCTCCATAATGGTGTGCACAACCTCCTCACTTACATCCACTGAGATCACATTTTAACAGACATGTTCAACTTTAAATTAACCAACTGAAAATGACATTTACACACGACAGGTGAGTAACCCTGTTATCTTAGAGAGAGGAAAAGCTCAAGTGACTCACAGATAGCCACAGGGTCGCTGTCAAGACCGGGCGTGGCTGCAATGATGTTCTCGATGGTGTCTGGATCTGTCAGCATCTTCTCCACCTGCCAACAATACCAGAGATTGAAACTGTGGAGTTCCGAAGTCCTTGAGGTCAGCTCTTATAGTAAATAGCCCGGGACTCCTAAATGTTCAACTTTCAACATAAGGTATAAATGTCAAGGAACCTTACTTTCATGCCTAATTTCGACAAATATACCTGATTGACAACTAACTTCACAGTCGGCATGGCCTGACTTCAATTCACATACAAAATGAACTTACTTGCAAAGTTAGTCAAACTGGAATGTTTCAAGGCAATTTTCAAATTAGTGTTCATGCCAACATAAGTATTATATTTTAGATTTTGAAAAATTAGTGTTCAATAGTGTACTATATACATTCACCTGCAAAACACAAACTGGGCAAACATATTTGAGCTCATGTAAATCTCTGTATACATTCACCTACAAAAACACAAACTGGGCAAATATATTTGAGTTCATGTAAATCTCTGTATACATTCACCTACAAAAACACAAACTGGGCAAATATATTTGAGTTCATGTAAATCTCTGTATACATTCACCTACAAAAACACAAACTGGGCAAATATATTTGAGTTCATGTAAATCTCTGACTGTGACTTAAGTCATAATGACTCATCTAATTCCAAAACAGGACTGGCTTAATCCCACATATCAATTCAAATAAAATGTTGTCTCTTATAGCATTTGTATAGTTTATATGAAAATATTGGAAATTTTAGTTTAAATTGTACATATCTTCTTTCTTCTTCGATCCTATGCGGAAACAAGCTTGAACCATGCTTCCAGCTTCTAAACCAAACACTTTACCCGAACACACTCCAGCATCCCTGTGGTTACTGACCAGTGACTGTGTCAATTACATGCTCCGTGCACAGTAAGCTTTTACGACCCAATCGTATGGGTATAGATTTAATATCAAAATCTATTGGAGTTATAAGATGAACATTTATACTCATAAATAGGAGGTCAATCACCTCATCACTTACATCCACTGAGACCATATTTTAACAGACATGTACTATTATGAATTAACTAACTGAAAATGACATTAACATACAAAAGTGAGTATAACAAGCCCTATGTAGGTGAGTACCCTGCTACCCTGTGTGTATCTCTGCCAACTCTTTCTCTTTTGTAGAGCTATCAGGAACCAAGATGCGGGCATGCTCAGGTGGGTATATCGTGTGTGATAAATATATACATATACTCTTTCTACTAAACATTTCTACACTTATCCTATCTCACACGTGCATGTATAGATTCTGGTGTGTTTGTATTAATTGTGAATATATTGTGAGAAAATCAAACTTGAACATACAAAACATAACATGTCAAAAATCTACTTATTCTTACCATGCTTCAGTACAGTAAACATCAAGAACACACAGAGATCAACAATGTTGTCAACACACTAGTTTAAACGCTCCATTATTTTTCAGGAATGGAGAGATGTTTGTCAGTTATACATTATCTTGAAACAACATTTCAATTAATTTTGCATTTTGAAATTGACAGAACAAATTTATAAATAATTTGACAAGTGAATAATTTCAAATTTTATCGGAAAACGTCTGTTGCCAGCAGGGGTTCGAACCCACATTGTTTGATTTAGGGATGTGTGTAATTTAAGACCTCAGCTTCAGTGACACATGAGGGTATGGCCTGAAAGTATCTATTTAATATATGTATTCCATATTTTTTTGCATAATGCTTAAAAGCTCAAAAATAATATACATATGGATATAATGTTATGTTAGATAAACCCTTGACGAGAAAATAAATAAATAAATAAATAAATATATATATATCCTTGTTTGGGGCTCCATGTTTCCAATAATCCCTGTCAGCATGTATTTACAATGTGCAAGCGATTGATAAAATACTGGTTTAGGACCACACAAAATTATGAAGAACCGTGTACCATGTATTGTCCATATCAGCTCGCGACGGAGCTTGGTGCACGTGCAACAGCGGCAGAGAACGTTTTCCTCGTGCATCATGCAAGGGTGTCTCATGTAGTATAAATAGAGACTACAAACAGTTCTGGTTTATTTTTCTAATGTTTTCCACAAGAGAATATCTTGTCAAAGAGTAAAAGTAGGGATGCGTTTTAAGTAGGGTAATATCCCCGTAACTCTCTATTCCTTAAAAATAATGGGCTTCGGGTCCACTATTTTAAAGGAACTGTGGGTCACGAGGACATTCCCCTCTACATCTATACATGGTTATGAATTAATTGTTCTATAATGCTTAAAAAAGAACCGATATATCCAGTTTGTGTATGTGTTCATGGAGTACCAATATGGAAATAGACATGTCAGCTATGATGTGGGTACATTCGTAATGATAAGACTTTTTACCTCTCGTTTCCATATAACCAATTTTCATGAGTCACTGACATTAGACTTTCACTTTTTTCTACATGACACAAATTACAATTAACCTATTGTTAACCAAAATTGAGAATACATTGCAAAATGCAACATTTATATAAAGTTTACTTAGTATCTCGACCGTAATACCTTGTTCAGCCCATGAATGAATCACATCAGGCTACTGATTCTACAAGTTGTACAAGCCAGCAGAAGTGAACATCGCACAATGCTCTTGGAACAACAACCCACCAGAAAGTGAATGTTGCACAACGCTTTTGGAATGACAACCCAGCAGGAAGTGAATGCGGCATAACACTCTACGAACAACAACCTAGCAGAAAGTGAATGTCTCACAATGCTCTTGTAACAGCTACATGTTCTACAACTACCCAACAGAAAGGCAATGTCTCACAATGCTCTTGTAACAGCTACATGTTCTACAACTACCCAACAGAAAGGCAATGTCTCACAATGCTCTTGGAACAGCTACATGTTCTACAACTACCCAACAGAAAGGCAATGTCTCACAATGCTCTTGTAACAGCTACATGTTCTACAACTACCCAACAGAAAGGCAATGTCTCACAATGCTCTTGTAACAGCTACATGTTCTACAACTACCCAACAGAAAGGCAATGTCTCACAATGCTCTTGGAACAGCTACATGTTCTACAACTACCCAACAGAAAGGCAATGTCTCACAATGCTCTTGTAAGCTGGGTTGAGGAGGTCACTCTGTAGAGCAGCAATAATCTCAGCTTTGCTTGGGGTGTGACTCGCAGCAGCTGCAACAGACAAGGAAGTGGGATTCAGTCATTATCATCATCATAGGCTTTACATGGGTTAAATGTTAAACGTTTATGTTGCGAGAGCGAGACTCCATTCAAGAAGGCTGCAGCCAGTGAATGATCGCATTCGGTGTTACCAGTTTAACTTATAAGGTAATGCTCTCTATGTGATAGTATATGTGACGTAAGAGAGGTAGGTTGCTTGGGGAATGACCGTTGGACCTTAGTCTGGTTGAGAATGCTGCTGTGTGCACACATACATGTCTTATCGAATATATAACCAATTAAATAACCTTGACTCAAGAATGGTTGTTTTATCTCTGGGCCATATTCCGATCTAACACATGAAGCAATCTGTCCCACAGTTAAGGTACCTTTCAAGTGAACAGACATGTGAAATGAACAGTGGTTATGGTAGTTTGCCTACATGTTAATTATCTTTACACAGGCAATTGTATTAATACAATGATCATGGGTGAGGTTTGTTCAACACCACTATGTACTCCTATAGGGGGTTTGTCAGATCTTCGTGCAGAGAGGAATACACTTAACTATGCAACTAGTTGGGTTGAAATGATACAGCAAGGTCAAGAGCACAATATGATATGTATCGCGATATGCATATTTACTTCAAATCGTGTTGAAACGTCTTGAATATAAATATTTCAGAGCAGGTTCAACAGGAAAAGATAGCTGCAGACACTTGTTCATTGTGGCTCTTTGTAGTAGTGAATTTTGTTACAACACATTTTGCAATTTTTGACTGACAAAAATGGTGGGGATTCATTTAACGATGTATTTAAGCATGTGTGTTATCATGTATTGATACAGAAAAAAATATATTGTGTATCGTATCGGAGCATGAAAACTCACACTGCACCGGTGCACCTCTAGCAACTAGTGACTGTTGCTGGTCTGATTCCTAAAGCTGTGTTTTGTACACTACCTGCTGGTTCATCTCTTATCCTCTTCTGTAACACATAGACAGTTGAGCCGGGTCTCAAACCATAAGCAGTGAGTGGTCTGCTTTCTAGTAGTCGCTGACCAGAGTATATCAATTCTGAAAAGAAATCCATAGAGATATTGTTTGTTATCTCTAGTGACCATTATGATTCAAATACTTCTACTCCACAAGAACTACTTTCCCACAACTTCATTTCTTGACTAACCCCGCTAACAGCAGTAGTATCACTCACATGTACCAACAAATTTGGTGTAAATCTTTGATTGAAAATTGATACATTTAATTTATTATTTATCATGATTATTGTGTTTTAGTCATGTTGTCAAGTATTATATTTTATTTTAATAACATAACATACACATAGGGACCCAGGTTAGAATAGGTCCCCAGTACAACACTGCTGTTTACAAATTGGACCGGGTAGTTTACAAATTGATGGTTTGGTAAATTTCATGTACCAGCACGGTTTGAAATTCACAAACGGTAAGTCTGCTTGTCCAAGACTAGTAAATTTACGCAGGACTAGTGATATTTTCTTGTTGACGACCATTAGTTGCCAATAAATACATGGCAACTTTGCTGTATATCGTTTTTGCAGAATATTGAAAATAAACTAATTTCTAACTTGTCTAACCCTGCTAAGTGACCATATCCTGATGAACATTTCTCATAATAACAATAACTGGTCAAGTGGTTTGCCTGGAACAGATACCATTATTTATATGGTCTCATTATATAGGCGTAAATTTGCAGACTGTGGTATAAAAACAACAACAAACAATACAAAATTTTCAAAATGCTACAATAAATATGGTAAATGTCAAATAAAACAGTATCAGAATTCTAGTAAGAAAACTAAAAGTTGCTTTAAGGGAATAGTTCCTTTCCTCAGGCAAAGATGGTGTACAATTTTACAATCGAATAATGAAATATAATTAAAATAACTATCTCAGGTGGTAGGACTACATGTGTTTTACATTCAAAATGTTCAATTGTCTGTTGGAACGAGACTACTATACTACTGTGTTGAGGATAAGAACAAATTCAGTGATAGTAGGTCTCATTGACTAGTAGCATTTGAGGGCAATACTATTCTGACCCAGATCTCAATGCTTCAATTTTGCTACAAATTGGAACTGAATAAAACTGACAGAAAATGTAAACATTGTGAAAAATATTTGTCTCATCCCAAGCTGGATCAGATACAAACAAATTAAGGTTTATTTTCACAAATTTCTAAGGCTGTGTGACCTAGATTCAACCATGATGTCTACATTATTATCGAATGAGTGTAAAACATGCTAAATGAGAGATGTTCAGTCAGGAATACGAGACGAGATCAATCATTTCATCAAGAAAGAAAGACATGATGGAAGGATGAAATTGACATCAGAATGTGTAGACACCCTTTCTGTAAAAAAATGTGTTTCCTGTTGTCTAAATTCTACCTCCTGGTTGGTTGCATACACACACTGTCACTACAGCGACAGCAGGCTACAACAAACTGCTCAAGTCACAGCAATGAGCAAATGGAAAGGTACTCTCTCCTACCCAGAGTTCTTAGCGGCCAACCTACTACCCCTGCCTTTTCGATTACAGAATCTTTATGCCACCCAATAGTATCATAAAAGATATATATATATATTATGTACTGGCTAGCATGGCTAGCATACAGTTATCACTGAGGACCAATTATCATGATTATCTCCAACACCCTGTTATATATGGCTCATGTGATCGCATCATGTTTTACTTTTGCTCATTTTCAACAGAAGAAATATTCATCCGAAAATGATGAACAAACCTGACTTTTGTTAGGAATATTAGAAACATACTGCTTAAGCATATTGCTGAAATAAAACATTAATTTTAATGAATAATATAATTCAGTGCAATACCAGTGATAAAAAATGTAATATGTATAACTGAAGCGGAGCACTGTTAAGACGGCTATGAGGTACAATAAGTCTACAGGAAAGCTCTATTTCCACTATTCTGATTCCCTCTTGTGGCGTAATAACAAGAAATCTATTCACACTTTTTCCACAGACAGAAATAGGCACAATTGCTCATAGTTTCACAAAAGCATTGAAAGTCTATGGTAAATTACATTTAAAACACGGTATATTTCAGAAATAACATGAAACAAATGGCGATAACTGGTCGCTGGCCAATATACATTATACATATTACGATCCTTGGGTTAGGCTAGTTATGTGGTGGATGTGTTAGGGCAGGTTACCCCCACACCTCTATCCTTATCTCATAAATGAAAATAGTGGTAAACATATTGATATAGCGGCACATCCAACACAGGCCATTCAGTAAAATACATTATTTTTCATCTGTTTCAGAAAGCTTCGAAGGGCTTCAATGGGGCTCGCCTGCTCTGATTCAGCGAATTTGTTTTTAAACGAAACATCCCATCACGGGATTATATTTGCTTGTGGCATAGGCGTAATGCTAAGTCATCACTTCGCATGGAGGGTCATGTATGGTTCACATTAGTCAAACGTAATTCATAAGATCACCTCAATACATCAACAAACATGGCATTTAGTGATGAATGTACTAGAATCTTCAGCCTACAAAAGTGTGTTACCTAATTTCGTGGCATCACGAAATTGCGATACATAATTTGTAATTCGACTTCTATTAGTTCAATAACAAAAATACCGATGTCATCTTTTGAGGCTTCGATCTTCTTGGCTATTTCTTGTAAAAGATTAGTGACTGAACCTTCAATATTCACGTCTTGCAGACGAAATCTACCAGTTTTTCCTGAGTCGGTTCGATCACGGACATTGATGTACGCCATGTTTAGATGTGACGTCACATGTACTATGGAATATAATTGGTTGGAACGTTTCATTGTACAATGCATGCTGGGATTTGTTGTTGTTTAGCAACTCCACGTGGTAGCAGCTTTCAATGACTGACAGCGTGAATAGAGCGCGCTCACAATGATACTATAGATAGGGATAGGGAAACATGTAGCAGATCCCCAAATATGGGTCAAACTGAAAGCAACAATTTAAAACAATTTGTTTCGACAAAGAAATCAAAAAGCGAATATCGGACAAGGCGTCTTCGGTACAAGAGACACAATGAGCAATACGACTGGAACTCTACCCCTCCCGATGGCTCCGATGTGGGACATGACATGTATAAAGTTAAGGTCTGCACGCCTGGATTAATTGAAAACTGCAAAACATTTCCTCCTCTTCGATTCCCAGAACTACACAAACACAAAGATAAGAAACAAGACGAGGAAACATTGAAGGGGACAGTTCTGGAGCGACTTCGCAAAGTTCTTAAAGAAGAGCAAGACGAAGAATCTCAATTTGCTGCTTTGCTAAAGAAGAGGGAGGATAGTTTGAAATTGCTTGAAGGTAAATGGTTAAAAAACCATGACAAGTATGTGAAGAAACTAAAGAAGGAACTTGAAAGTTTCTCAAATGATGAAATAATCAAGTCACCAGGATGGTTCAATATGTTCTTGAAAGAAAAGAACGGAATTATAGTACTTGGACATCTTCTATCGTCACCCCATCCCACTGCTCCAAAGGAAGTAACCGAATTCTCCTCCAGAACACCCAGAATAATAATTCGCCCAAAGAAAAAGGAGAAAGGAGTTTTCAGAGTGTCTGAGCAATATCGAAACGCGGGGACTGGCAAATGGAAAACAGCTTTCACATGTACAGACGCGCGCATCAGTCAGTTTGACGGCACGAGAGTCTGTATTACAGGGGAATTTGGACTACCCGGACAATCAGCATTTGACTTGATGGTGGTAAACAAAGACTGCCTGGATTCGAACCACAAGTTGCGAGGAGCCTATGTCAGGAGGGTCACGATACACACAGATATGCTCACCTGGATTGTTGCTCCAAAATAAACTTTTGCACATGGACCATTGTTTGTTACCGGTGTGATCCTGAGGCATATACCCGGCGTGTCGTTTATAATATGAACAACAAGAGGAATGCTTTCTTTTCTCTGTTTTATTTGGATAACATGTGGAATAGGTGCGAGGAACTAAACCAAACTGAGGTTTTGATGCGAAACTGAGGCAAATCAAGGGAGAACATTGCTTACAGGTTTCAGTTGTGGGAACTATGGTGCAGGCATCACTAAGGAATGGAAGTGAGAACATTGTTTCTAAGTTTTCAGTATGGAATTATCGTGAAAGCATCACTTAGGAAGATGAAGTGAGAACAGTGTCTCCAGGCTTTAACAGTGGCACTATAATGAACATTGCTTTCTGGATTATAACTCTGGACACTACTGTGAAAGCCTCACCGAGGAATGAAAAGTGAGAATATTGCTTTCTGGATTATAACTCTGGAAACTACTGTGAAAGCCTCACCGAGGAATGAAAAGTGAGAATATTGCTTTCTGGATTATTACTGTGGAAACTATTGTGAAAGCCTCACTGAGGTATGAAAAGTGAGAACATTGCTTTCTGGATTATTACTGTGGAAACTATTGTGAAAGCCTCACTGAGGTATGAAAAGTGAGAACATTGCTTTCTGGATTATTACTGTGGAAACTGTTGTGAAAGCCTCACTGAGGAATAAAAAGGGAAAACATTGCTTTCTGGATTATAACTCTGGAAAATATTGTGAAAGCCTCACTGAGGTATGAAAAGTGAGGATATTGCTTTCTGGAATATTACTGTGGAAACTATTGTGAAAGCCTCACTGAGGTATGAAAAGTGAGGATATTGCTTTCTGGATTATTACTGTGGAAACTATTGTGAAAGCCTCACTCAGGTATGAAAAGTGAGGATATTGCTTTCTGGATTATTACTATGGAAACTATTGTGAAAGCCTCACTGAGGTATGAAAAGTGAGGATATTGCTTTCTGGATTATAACTCTGGAAAATATTGTGAAAGCCTCACTGAGGTATGAAAAGTGAGGATATTGCTTTCTGGAATATTACTGTGGAAACTATTGTGAAAGCCTCACTGAGGTATGAAAAGTGAGGATATTGCTTTCTGGAATATTACTATGGAAACTATTGTGAAAGCCTCACTGAGGTATGAAAAGTGAGAACATTGCTTTCTGGATTATTACTGTGGAAACTATTGTGAAAGCCTCACTGAGGTATGAAAAGTGAGAACATTGCTTTCTGGATTATTACTGTGGAAACTGTTGTGAAAGCCTCACTCAGGTATGAAAAGTGAGAACATTGCTTTCTGGATTATTACTGTGGAAACTGTTGTGAAAGCCTCACTGAGGAATGAAAAGTGAGAACATTGCTTTCTGGAATATTACTGTGGAAACTATTGTGAAAGCCTCACTGAGGTATGAAAAGTGAGAACATTGCTTTCTGGATTATTACTGTGGAAACTATTGTGAAAGCCTCACTGAGGTATGAACAGTGAGGATATTGCTTTCTGGATTATTACTGTGGAAACTGTTGTGAAAGCCTCACTGAGTAAGGAAAAGTGAGAACATTGCTTTCTGGATTATTACTGTGGAAACTGTTGTGAAAGCCTCACTGAGTACGGAAAAGTGAGAACATTGCTTTCTGGTTTGTAATTGTGGAACTATTGTGAAAGCCTCACTGAGGAATGAAAAGTGAGAACATTGCTTTCTGGATTATTACTGTGGAAACTATTGTGAAAGCCTCACTGAGGAATGAAAAGTGAGAACATTGCTTTCTGGATTATTACTGTGGAAACTATTGTGAAAGCCTCACTGAGTAAGGAAAAATGAGAACATTGCTTTCTGGATTATTACTGTGGAAACTATTGTGAAAGCCTCACTGAGTAAGGAAAAGTGAGAACATTGCTTTCTGGTTTGTAATTGTGGAAAATATTGTGAAAGCCTCACTGAGTAAGGAAAAGTCAGAACATTGCTTTCTGGTTTGTAATTGTGGAACTATTGTGAAAGCCTCACTGAGGAATGAAAAGTGAGAACATTGCTTCTACGTTTTCATTATGGGAGCTTTTTGTTAGTGCCTCATTCAGGAAAGAAAAGTGCGAAAGTGCTTCCAAGTTTTTTTTAATTGTGGAACTATTGAGAAAGTATCACCGAGGAATAAAAAGTGAAGACATTGCTTCCACGTTTATGATGTTGGAATTATTGTGAAAGCATCATCAAGGAAATATAAATGTGATGATGAATTTCAATTTCCAATTTAAAACAAATTATATCACGAAATTAATAAAACAGTTTGCTACCTAGAGCCAATTTTTCATGTGGCATTGTAGTACTTCGGCTGTATCGAGTAAATAAATATGGAAATGTGGAACTTGAAAACACATCAGAATAAAAAAGAATTTTGCCTTTAAATATTGTGTATAACCATTTCTGTCTGTGCCCATATACATGTGTATGTGGACGTATCTTCACATTCAACTATGGACGTCACGAAATAATTGCACCCAGATAACTTACGCACAGATTCATACGCAAAGGATTTGAATAATGTTCCTTCATGTTGATTGGAACTAGAATTAAGAAGGATATAGTCGGTTAATGATGATAAACATATTTTGTTTTCAATTCAGAGTTATCTTCTCTGTTGTGAGTGAGTGAGTTGGGTTTAACGCCGTGTTGAAAGGTATTTCAGTTATTGCATGGCGTGTCAGCTTCATGTGGGAGGAAAACCCACAAGCACAGGTATGGTGCTGACAGACCTAGAAACATAATAGGGGCAAACCCACGCTAATAGGTTCCTGGCGTGCCCAAGGGACGCAACTTTGCACAGCAAATTGTGTCGCCTTAGACGACTGGGTCACCCTTCTCTGTAGATCTGACGGAGAAGGTTGAGATCTCAAATGTGAGAATCTACTATCACTATCTGATTAACTAAAAAATCCAATAAGGAATACTGATTTGACGCCTGGTAGCGTAAGGAGTTATTCCCCTTTAACCACAACCTGCTCAGAACCGCACTTTCTCTATGTTACATGTTCTAATAGTTCGGACAGAGCTTCAGGAGAATTTATGCTACCCCCGAAGGCCTAACAAACTCAGAATACAGCTTGCCGAGCTGGATCTCCCATCCACATACTCTCCCCCGCCAGTGTATACCTGCATACTGCCATACACCACAATGTGTGATGTGTGCGTCTTTCTCTTGACCACTTCCACATATTTATATTCGCCTGTGTTTGCGAATAAACTCTTCAAAAAAAGAAAAGCACAGGTCATATGTAGTGCATTGAACCTGACTACACAAAAAATCCGGTAAATAAATAGGATATATGTTTTTGGAAAATGTTGGTGGCCTCTTATTCGACAAACGGTGTGTCAAAACGCAGCCATTGTCGATTTGCAATGTCTTAAACGGCATTGTTTTCACACTTTTAAAAAAATGTCATGGAGGAAAACAGTAAAGCAAAATACACGTGCAAGTTATGACATTCGTAACTCGTGTCAGTGGCTATAAAAAGGCAAGCATAAGCCAATAATTTGTCATTCAATTGTCAACATTTTTCAATTTCGAAAATGCCGAGACTCAGCGCTGCCGATCGGAACATCGCCATAGGCCGTATCCATAGAGGGGAATCGCGGTCTTCTGTTGCACGCCACTTCAACGTCCACCACCGCACCTTTTGCCGCCTTTGGGACCCATACACACAGTTCAATTCCACTACAGACCGTCCGAGACCCGGCCGACCAAGAGTTACCACCCCTGCACAGGATCGCTACATTCGACTGTTCCACCTACGTCATCGCAATGACGCAGCTACAGAGCGGACCAGACTGCCAGGAATCATCTTCGCGAGGCTGGAATCCGACCCAGAAGACCAGTTATCGTCCCTATTTTGCAACAGGTCGACAGCGACGCTTGCATTGGTGCCATACTTTACAGCCTT